AATAAGGCAGGGATGCTCAATCCTGGTCCTGGAGATCTACCACCCTGCAGACGTTAGCTCTAACCAAAACCTAGCGCTTCTGTTCCATGCAATGGAGGCCTTTAGGGGCATCTGAAAATTAGAACCAGGTGGGCTGGATCGGAACTCTTCAGGGTGGTAGATCTCCAGGACCAAGATTGGGCACCTCTGTAAAAAGGGACTTTGTCCCTCCTTTGCTGCAGTACCAGCCTCTACTCTTCTGGGAAGCCTTTAGACTAGATATTGGAACATTACATTCTTGTGACTGCATTCAGCCACAAGAGCATTAGTGAGGTCAGGTACTGATGTTGGATGATTAGTTATGGATCAAAAATGCCACTCCAACTCATCCCAAAGGCACTGAACAAAACTCCAATCACTCCAAAGAACACAGTTTCACTGCTCCACATCAAAATGCAGGTGTGCTTTATACCCACCTAGCCAACTCTGGCATTGGGCATGGTGGCCTTGCGCTCATGTGAGGATCCAGAGAAACCCATTTTATTGCTAACGCTTTTCTATTGAAATTGCTTCCAGGGCAGCTCATAGTTTATACTGTGCAAAAGTCTTAGGCAGCCATGAAAATTATTTACCTTGGCACTAAGTGTGTTTTTTGTGAAAACAATATATAAATCTAAAATAAATAAGCAGACTTTTGCACAGTACTGTATGTGGTGTATAACCAATTACTGGACTAAAATTCAGGTGTTTACATCAAATATCTTGAAACCCAATAATGGGTAAAATCTTGACATATCATATTATGCTGTTTGCATTTCTGCCTACTCAAACACACCCAATTACATTTATCTGTTAAGTTAGTGGGTGAGTAGGGAAACTCTATCCTTGTACTACTATTTGTGATTTTTTGGACCAATAATGCGACTGCAATTTAAATTGCAATTATTTTTTAAAATTAGGCCTGTTTTTTTCTGGGCAGGAAGAGTAAAATATCCACTTTTTTCTGGCTTTAGGCTTGATCCCTGAATGTAGTGTGCCAGACTGCCAGTACGTTGTGGTTGTGATGTCACAACAGCTGGCGGTTTGGTTGCCTCTGATTGGTCTAACTTATTTACAGGAAGTTCACAAGTTCTGTGTTATTAGGTTCAATTTCCCTACTTAAAACCTAAGACAATGTTATTGATAATATAGGCTATAATTTATTAAAAAATTGCTCTTGAGAAATTTCAATGCAACAACATTTATGTTATGATTAGTTGATCTTACAGCCCTAGACCTGGTGGAAGCACATTACCTGGTAGTAGGTGTTGTATTGGTTCTGCAGCACAGCAAGGAGAGGCATCTCTATACACGTAAGGATCGTGAGCTGCCAGGACAGACTCAGCATGGAGACGAGCATGCTACACGTCTTCACCAGGCTCCGCAGGAGCACGTTCACATTCATGGCTATAGAGCGGCCCATCTTATCAGTGTCAGAGACCAGCCGTGAGGTCAGACTTCCTGAGAGGGAAAGAAAAAGATGCTGAAGGATAAGATTTTGAATATTGACACCATTATGAAATAAAGTAAAGTGCTTCTGTTACATTCATTGCGATGACTCTTACATGATTATACAGAGACATGTTTTACACAATCAACATAGCTAAGAAAAGTCGCCTGCCCCTATAAGAGTCTTAAGCGCTGATTTATGTTTGCATTATCACCTGGCTTATTTTCTTCAAAGAAGTTGATTTCCTGTTTCATCAAGTTCTGGAACAGCATGTGTCGAATTCTCCTGTTGAGTCTGCTTAGGCTACACATGAACATGCCCCCTCGCAAGCCAGTGAACAAGGAGCTGGAAGAAAGAACACACATTAGTTTACAGAGAACATTTATACAAATTCAGAAAAACAACAACTACAGCATCTAAATACACCTACCTTCCCAAAGAGTACAATGACATGAGTCCAATGGCCCACATAAAGTTTCCATGCTGGTATTCTCCACTCAGCACATCAATGATTTTCCCCACATAGTATGGAATACAGGACTCAACTGTAAGCAGAAATGCATAATTGAAAAATATTATATCCAAGACATTACTGCATACTAGTGATGGCTGACAAAATAAAGGAAAAAAAAGAACAAATCACAGGGGTGCACATTCTTCCAGACAGGTTTACTGGATCAAGATGGCAAGAGGAAAAGATCTAAATGACTTTGAAAGAGGGTTCATTATTGGGCTTGGATGTCACAAGCTTCAGTCACAAAGGCTGCTGAACCGGCTGGAGCATCAACAAAAACAGTGACTAAAGTAACATCTGCATTTAGATCTGTAGGAAAGACATCAGTAAATAGGGCTAGAAATTGTGGTCAAAAGCACGCGTTCGTTCACCGTGATGATATACAGAGAAGGATATTACAGTAGGTCTATAATAAGTGCATAAACCCCTCATTACAAAGAAGACTTTGTGAGTTCAATTGTGCAAAAACCACAAGAAATGGTGAAATGGTCAGATAAGTTGACCTTAACTATATTCTTCCTCCATAAGTGGCATGCACGTGTGTGGCCTACACCAAGAGTACTGTACAGGTCTGAATGCTTGACCAAAATCATTCAGTTCCAAAATCTATGTCAAGGGGCACTAAAGCTGTTCTGGTAGCTTGTGGTGGCTCATCAACTTGTTAAGAAACTTGTCTTATGTATGCTGTACACCACTGGCTTCTGACTGCGGTCCTGGAGTCCTGTAACACACCCACTTAAACTCAGTAGGGACTTGTTAATTAGCTGATGTTTTAGACCAGGGAAAACACAAAAATATGTAGGGCATGTGTCTAGAACAACAGAATGGGAAAACACTGCTGTATAAATTTTTTAAACGATGCATGTGAAAAAGGCTTAAAACCATGTGACCATTTCTGACCTGTGATCGATTATTTAAGATTATATAAAGCATAGGTTTATGTTAAAGTCAAAAGTTAAATTCTAGGTCAGTCAAACCACAGAGATGACTAATTGGAAAACTTACACAAAGCAGCCAGGATGAGAAAAAGAAAGGCAGCCCCCAGGTGAAGGTAGTCTGGTCTAGAGTACCGAATCACTCTAATCAAGAGTGCTTTGGCTTCTTGCTCTTTCTTCTCCTTTTTTGCATCCCTTTTAGATCCATTACAAGGGAATGCCATCTCCCACACCATATATACCAGAGTGGCAGACACTGCATTCAGGACCACCATGGCTGGCTCAGGGACAGGACTGAAGCCACACACACCTCCTGAAACAAGTGTTCTCAGAGTATCGAACACAGTAGGCAAAAAACACAATAAAGTCACCCAGCGCTTCAGTAGAGGTTGTAGACTCTGTTCCACCAGCACAGAGCTAACTTCATTCAGCAGGGTCCAGCTGAGAGCCCTGAAAGCCCATAACCAGCTCAAACTAAGAATAAAGGTGCCTTCACACCACAGAAGTCCTGTCACTAAGGTCACCCAGAGGATCAGGTCACAGCACAGGAGAAGTCCATATGCACACACTGCAGCACGGTCTGTTGGATGAGCCATCGTGAAGGAACTATTCAGATATCTTCACCCTTCTGTAAGACAAAGACAAATAAGACAACTAAGATCAGCCATACTGGACGTTGGATTATCTAGGACACAGCTGACTGTGTGTGTGTGTGTGTGTGTGTGTGCAATGTTATGGCTCTGTGTTAAGCTGCTAGCGAGCGATGAGGGGTTAAGTGGAATGGGTGAGAGCCTCAAACTATGAAAACAGTTCACACCTGTCCATGAAGACAGCCATACCGAGAAAAAATGGATGTCCAATCCTGGTCCTAGAGATCTACCACCCTGGGGAGTTCAGATCCAACACACCTGGCTCAGATGCTCCTGAAGGCCTTTATCACCTGGATCAGTTGTGTCCGATAGGGATGGAGCTGAACTTTGCAGGGTGGTAGATCTCCAGGACCAGGATTGAGCATGCTTGCCCCAGACGTAGTGCTTTGAGCTTTAGATAGAAAAATTCTTTCACACACACATCTCATTTACAAAAACTGTTCACTGAGGATCCATCCACTGAAATGATCCTTGGGAAAACAAAAGTGGTGCTATCACTCCAAACAACGACGGTAGGATACTTTTTGAAGTACAGGGCCACAGGGGTGCTCAGCTTGCCTCAATAACCCCCTGACCAATGACTGACCAAAGTCCATCCTACCTAATGTGAATGACGTGATGACTACATCTACTGTTTCCACAACTCCTTTCATGGTTAATGAATTGTCACTATAATCACACCTAAAGTAGTACAGTTCAGTCTAACCAGACAGAACTCGACCGACGATAAATGCAGTTTAACATGATTTAGTCTTTTGTCTGCTCTTCGTTAAACGTTTTTATTCTTAAGTGCACCAAAACAGCAATTAAAACATTGGGAATCCACGGCGCTGCTGCTACCTGCTAACATTGCTAACGTTAACATTGCTAATCAGAATGAGCTTCAGCCTCTTCTGTCCACTGAAGTGTAGCGCTCTTCAGACAGCGTTTTCGCGTTTTGTCGCGTAAACTTATGCAGTCTGAATTTATAATGAATTCTAAATAACATTTAAAATATCTCAATAACACATAAAGCCAAATGGCCTTACCGTTGTCCGTTGTTTCCTTTCGTGGACAGCTCTCAGTTTTACTTTCACTTTCATATTTCATATGTCATGAAATGACATCCGTTTACACTAAGACTCATTGACATCGACAGACATAAACGAGCAAAATAAAGTTCCTCAATGCTAAAAACTACCATTCAGTCCTGTCACTCTCATAATAAGAGCTAACAGAAGACATTTCTAACGCACTATACGCACTATAAGACAGAGCACTATAGAAGTGTTGTTTTATAGTGCTCATGTCTGTCATATAAATTGGACCACCAGATGGCGGTCGTCTGCAGGAATGAACGGACTTCCGCCTGCCCATCCCCCAGATCTGACCCAAACTGCAAGAGAAAAATGCTTTCATAGTGCAAAGAGAATTTATTTTCGACTGCACAATTGTTTGCGGTGAAACAAAATAGTATTTATTTAGCTTGGATTGTTTCTTCAGGAAAAATAGTAGATCTACTAATTAACTACATTATAAAATGATATACTCTACAGAAATACACATAGCCCTTTCTTCCTTCAGATGTTCTTCCAACTTTGGCAAATGCACACAGCAAACGGCAAAATAAGCATGACAGAGAAAATGACAGTATTTAAGACAAGAATTAAAAATCATTAATAACAATGTTAACACTTCCAGTTGTTTATATGAGTCGCACAGTATTGCAACAAAACCAGCTGGAACTTTGGCCTTTTCTCCCAAAAATTTGGGACTACATAAATACTCTGTTATACAACATTGATTTGTGTACAATCCCTTGACACCATTAGACATTACCAGTGAAGCAGACAGACCTATAACAGTGCAAAGATGATTTTGAGAAATACCCTTAACTTCAAGTTAGTGTTGTGTTTTAATACAATGATTAATAGCTGTGTACAGATATGTACGATAATGCTGAAATGTATAACATTGATAGTAAGTGCTTTTATTTTGTCAGAGGTTTGATGATCTCCCTGTGCAATGGTTCTGTATCAGTTTGGCTGACTGATCTAGGACCTGGTACTGATGATGTTACTGTGATGTTTGTTGGTTTCCTGCAGTCAGGAATTGTACGCAGGCAAAAATGTCGTATCAAAAACTAAATTTGTTTTTCAGGTGGGTAGACATATGAAATTAATAAATGACAGACTAGTTTCCAGAAAGGTGAACCACACAGTGTAAAATCATAAATGTAAACGGTAGTATACCTGATACATGACAGCTGAAGGAGGAGCTGTTTTGTGCCTTTTTAATGCTGTTATCCTAGAATTTGACAGTGAAACTGGTAACTGATTGCAGCATACATAAACGAGAGAGTGTACAGATATAAAACAGTTTTTCCTTAATCATAGCAATATAAACTTCTCTGAATGCTCAAAATCTTACAAATCCTACATGGTACATTAAAGAATATTATAAGCTAAATGACTAAACTATAACAAACAAAATCTTGAAGATAATTCAGCAGCGCTGAAATAATATGCATATTCTTCCATTTGATAAGGGCCACACTATCTCTGATCTTCAGCCCTGATGGATACAGTTCATACACTAGTAACACGCTCGGTTTTAATGTGCTTGTCCGCTGCACCTGCGGAGACTCTGATGTACTGGCAGTCTGAAGACTGAAAAGCTGCTGACCCTGGGGAAGGTGATGGCTCCTTCTGGGCTGCATCATGGCGGTCCAGGCAATAAAAGGACACTAAAAGAAACAAAGCCGAAGAGGCCACTGTGATACTGGAGGCCACGAACACGTATGTGTACTCTCCAGTTTTGTCCACCAGATAACCTAAAATTTCAGAAAGACATATATATCAGACACAGGTATATCAGTCAAATAGACTACACCACACACCTGCTTCACTACTGGCTGTACACTTTCTGCCTGCTCTCTGCTAGCTTTTAGTTTTTAGTACTTTTTTCCTGCAATATTGTTCTTGTTTTCTTAGTTACAGAGATCAAACAGCACACATTAAGGTCCTTTAAATAACATCCTCTAGGGAGGCATAGAACTATGACACTTTTTTCAAATATGTCTACCAACCATCAGAACAGCATGGTTATTTTGACAAATTTCCATCAGGCTTCCAACCTTACCACAGTACTGAAATTGCTCTTTTAAAGGTATTAAATTAAATACGGCTGAGTAAAATAATAAAACATCATTGTATTACAAGATCTCTGCATTTGACATTGTAGATAATAAAATAATTCTGGGCAGGGTGAGGACTTTCAAAAAGTCCTCAATTTGTTCAGGTCTTATTTAGCAGAGGTGAATCTGAAAGGGTGGCTATGACACACAGAGTCCCCCAATGATCAGTTCTAGGACCACTTTTGTTCAGTCTTTATACGCCTCCTCTGGGCAAAATCCTACAGAACAACATTCATTATCATACTTCTGCAGATGAAATATAGATGATTACATAAGATGATTACAGCCTAACAGACACAGTGTGTCAGTGTGTGGATCACGTAAATAAATAGTAACAAAGTTTTGTTTTTCAATAAAACAGAGATTATTGTGTTTGGCAACAAAGAGAAGAGACTTAATACTAGTTCACAGCTTCATTCTATGGCTCTGAAAACCAAAGACCAAGTCAGAAATCTTGGTGTTCTATAGACTTGGATCTCACCTTCACTGGTCATATCAAAGCAATCTTCTTCAGCAAGCTTCTATCATCTTAAACACATGGCCAGAATCAAAGGTTTGTTGTCCCAACAACATCTAGAGAAACTCGTCCATGCTTTTATCTCCAGCAGGATAGACTACTGCGATGGTCTCTTAACTGGACTTCCCAAAATGATCATTAAATAGCTCATTCAAAATGCTGCTGCCATTGTTTTAACCAGGACCAGCAGAACAGAGCACATTACTCCAGTTCTAAAATCTTTACACTGGTTTAATTGTTTAGGCCCAGAATACATCTCTGATGTATTTAAAGAACATAAACCGCATAGGCCTCTTAGATCCATGGACACATCTAGTAGAGCCTAGAGTCCAAACTAAACACAGTGAAGCAGCATTTAGCTATTATGCTGCACTTCCAGAAGATCGTAGATGTGTTCTAAACATAGTGATTTTTAAATCCAGGTTAAAAATATGTCTCTTTTTGTGTGCCTGCAATTGAGATCTAACACCTGCACTTTTGTCTTACTGCGCTTTGTATGTTTAATTAGCTCATTTTAATTATACTTCCCCTTTGTCTCTAATTTCCTTTTTATGTTTTTGTATTTTGCTTTTATGTACTTCATTTTAAATGCTGACTGAATCCCCTCTGTTGCCTTCCACAGTTATTTAGCCTGAACCCTAATCATCAATGGACTGGAACTCACACAAGACCACAACTGACTAGATATTTGAGCTGTGGACCATTCTCGGGACAGTTTATTAAACACTGTGTACACTTACTGGCCACTTTAATAGACAAACACACCTCACTGGCACAAATTGTAGGTGCACACACTTTAGAGCTGCGTCATGCTTAACTTAGCAGATCTAGATAGACAGATCTTTCTTTACATATCGTATGCAGAGATGTAGAAATATCTCTACACTCTCACAGAAAAGTTACTGAAGTGGTAGCCTCAAGAGTACATCTTCAGTACCTTTAGTTAGGAAACATAATTGTACCAAATTATATTTTTAAAATTGACTTCAGGCTCTTTTCTTGTTCTGTTTTAAAACAAGGTTGTAAAAAGGTACAAATATGTTCCTTTCCCCTGCCAAAAACTTATTTAACATACACAGTTGTACCTTAAAACCATTGCTGTACCATTGAGGGTACATTTACATTGTCTGTACCATAATAAACAAATAATGTACCTGTACAGTACCTTTTTCTCTGAAAGTGTACCTATGTAGACATGCTGTGTGTAGACATGTATGCAGACATGGACAGATCAATGGAAAATGCACACAGGTGTGTACATAATGACAGAGGATATACACTATATGACCTCCTAATTCCAAAGCTCTGATGTTTCAGCGACACCCAATACTAACAGGTGTATAAAATCAAGCCATAGTCATGCAATCACCTCAGACAAACACTGGCAGTAGAATGGGTCATACCAAAGAGCTCAGTGACTTTAAATGTGGCACTGTCATAAGACGCTACCTTTGCCACAAGCCAGTTTGTGAAATTTCTGCTAGATCTGCCGTGCACTGTACTTGACATTATTGAAAAATGGAAGTGTCTAGGAGTAAGAACAGCTCAGCCACAACATGGTAGACCATGCAAACTCACAGAGCAAGGCTATCAAGTACTAAAGTGTGAGGAAGTTAAAAGTCCTATCCTCTGCTGCATCACTCACTAAAGAGTTCCAAACTGTGAAAGCAATATCAGCACAGTAACTGAGAGCTTAATAAAATGGGTTTCCTTGACCGAGTAGCTGCACACAAGCCTGAGATCACTATGCACAATGCCAAGCATCGTCAAGTGGTGTAAAGCGCGCCACCACTGGACTCTGGAGCAGTGGAAACGTGTTCTCTGGCAGTCTGATGGATAAATCTAGTTTCAGTGGATGCCAGGACAATGGCCCCTTAGTTACACTGAAAGGTAATGTTAAAGCATACAAAGACATTTTATACAATTATATGCTTCCAACTTTGTGGTAAAAGTTTGGGGAAGGCCCTTTCCTGTTATGGCATGACTGTGTCCCTGTGCACAAAGTAAGGTCAAATGTCAGCCTGCACAGATTCCAGACCTCATCAGTATCCAGCCTCACAAATGCTCTTTTGACTGAATGGGCACAAAATCCCACAGACACACTCCATTATTTTTATGGAAAGCCTTTCCAGAAGACAGGAGGCTGTTACAGTCATAAAGCAGGGGACCAACTCCATTTGTCCATATGCTTTTGACCATGTAGTGTACATACTAAGCTATTCATCCTTGAATTCTCATAACATATTGAACTAAAACTGTTTTTAAGGGTATTACAGAGAGCACCTTTCATGGGAACTGAGAGTTCACTTGTTCACTGAAGTGGCCAGACTTTATAATACAGGCACTGGACAGTGTTGGGTTGCATGGTTGACATTTCGAGTTGGCATGGTGCTCACATGAGGGAGCCAGCTGCCTGGTCAATCTCACCCACCCCACGGAGAGAGCCTGAAGCCCTGGTACCACCCCCACCCTTGCCCTCCAGGTTCTCTTTCACAATACAAGGAACATTCCATTCCCCTTTATTTCTTCCGTGCACACTTCAGAGTGAAGCACACAACTGAATAGGTGGGTGTAAAGAAACGTCTCTCTTGTTGTAAAAATTAATACCAGTTCTGCCGTGTCAAAGAACATTTGTCATTTGTTTAGCATTTCGGTGTAAAAACTGCCTGAGCAGGTTTCTGAGACATGCGGCTGATCATAGAAGGCTCAGAAAGAGACAATTCATGGATTTTTTTGGTTTGGCCTCAGGTCTCTCACCCTATTAGACATGTCCATGGTGTGTACAGACTGGATACAATAGAGTGAAATAATGATGAGCACCCTCATGGTCAATGCAATTCAATCTACAAAGCATCTTAAAGGAGACATATTATGCTCATTTTAAATGTTCATAACCTTATTTTTGGGGTCTACTCAAATAGATTTACACGCTTCAATGTTCCAAAACACACTATTTTTCATATACTGTACTGTAGTTGTTCTGGGTATTCTCTATTCACTGTCTGAAATGCTGTTAGAGTTCCTGGGTCTTTAAGCCCCCTTCTCAATGAGCACAGTGTGCTCTGATTGGTCAACTTGCCCACTATGTTCTGACTGGTCCACTGCCAGAGCGGTTGCTCCCTTTCACGTTCTGCCCCTGTCTTGCAGTCTGCAGACAGACATTTCTCTCCTGAGCAGGCGTAAACACTGGTGTTACTTTTTTTCCAGTGGCGTCAGTTCTGCCATATCAGTTTGAGCCAGAGTCCAATTATGAAGGTCATGTAAGTGTCTTCTTGACACAGCTACAACCCTCAATCCCACCCTCATAAAATCGCACAGTTGCTGTGTGATTTTGTGTGGGCATTCCAAGCTTGCGAGTAGGTGGGCAATAAGGATCGTATTACAAGATTGCATCATCTTGTAACAAAGGAAAAGGGCTAGAATTCCAACAAGGCATTTCAGGCAGCTGAGAAAAGAGGTTTCTATGGGAAAGTTACTCCTTCTGGTGTGTAAGTCTGCAGACCATTTACATGCTCAAAAAGCTATATAATGCGCAAAAGGAAAGAGAACAATTGGAAAAGCATAATAGGTCCCCTTTAACCTTAATTACATGAAGGTTCCTATGTTAACTTGCTTTCTTCCTCTACACAACACACCTCTTATGCCTATTAGGATCACTAGCTGACAATTAATTGCCATACAAATAATTGTGATTAACAATTCAGTTGTTCATTGTATGCATCTATTAAAGTACAACTCTGAAGTGGCCAAACTGGCTGATTAGCAATATTGCTTTCTGACTGTCTATACACAATAGATCGCAACTGAAGACAGCTCGAGCTTAAATAAATAAACATCACTCACCATTGCCCTAGGGAATCAACTAATCTAATTCTGTTTTGTTCCTTCTCAAATTTCCATGCATTTGCCTCAGCCTAATGGATGAAATTCACATTCTGTTTGTTGCGCTATTTACATGATATGAAAGCTAATAACTGTATTAAATAATTATGGTCAACTTAAATAATTGTGAGCAGTTCAAATAATGGCAATCATTAAATTATGTATTAATTGTGACAGATCTAGTATCTGCCTACATGTAATAAGAATTTTTTAGCCTAAACATAAACATTAACCTTAGTCTCACAAGAGAAATGTTTTCCCCTGTTAGTTTTTATTTTAATGATATACGTATTTTTTGTGCAAAGCACTTTACAACGTCAGGACCATTTTGTTGGTTACCTGTTCTTTCTCTGGTTTTCTCTGGTTTCTGTCTTTAAAACATCTGAAAACCACTACAAACACACACACACTTTGACACACTTTGGGTTCTTGTGCTACCTGCAAGGGGCGGCCCAATCAGCAGTGTGACGCTCTCCATGATAGCCAGCAGGCCAAGGGCAGAGGGGAAGCGGCTCATATCCACTATGCCCATCAGCACAGTGAACAGCAGTGTGCCCACCACACTCATCGTCAGGCCATAACTCAGCATATAAAGCAAGAGCACTGAAAAACTGGGTGCGATGCAGCAGATGCTGTTACTCAGTCCGTTCAGCAGAAGAGCTGTGGAGAACACGTAGACGTGGCGGCCCTTGAACCAGGAGAGGTTGAAAAGCAGTCCTATGGGTGGCCGCACAATGACATTGACGAAGCCCAAGATGTTGAGCAGCAGGGCAGCCTCTTTCTGATCCATGCCGTTATCTGTGGCGTAAGGAATGAGGAAAATCAGTGGCACTACAAATCCCAGCATCATCCAGGTAATGCCCAGTGAGAAGACACGAAAACGCCGGTTATTGCAGAACTGATCAAAGGCCATGTGGCGATGGAAAGAAGACGCTAAACTTTTCCATACCACCAACATATGTCCTTTCAGGCCCTCTTCACTTGCTACAGCAGTGCCATTGCTCAACCGTTTGGATGCTCTGGGCTTTCGCGGGCCCAGTGGCCTCATAACAGCTCCACAGACACAGCAGTTGAGTAGGATACCACCCAGCACAAGGAAACTGCCCCTCCAGCCCAGTTCAATGTGCAGATAGTGACTCAGCATGGGCAGCGTTGACAGGCCCAGAGCTGTGCCTGTGGAGGACATAGCATTGGCAAAGACTCGACGACGCACAAAGTAGTGGCCCAGGATAGTGACCGCAGGCTGGAAGCTGAAACAAAACCCTAGGCCTATGAGGAAAAAATAGTTGGTATAAAGACATGGGTATAAATGTTTTATTCTTTACTATTCTTCATAAAAAAAGAGCAATCTACAGTATATCATAGCTGTCATAAGAAAATCTCATATCTCTCAAATAGAAACTTTATTGGAAGAGGTTTCCAGCTTTAATGTATCTCAGTATTTTTATTTATTTAATTGGGTATCCAAATAAAGCATGTATGCTTTGGAATGTAAAAGAAGGAAGAAATTGTGTATTGTCTTGTAATTTTGTAATGTAAGTTATTTACTGATCATACAGCATTGAACTATAAAGAGGGAATTATGACTTTTACTGTAATCATTGTTATCATGACAAACAGTACACTTTTCTGAGCATATCGAGGATTTTGTCTGTACTTAAAGAAAACTGACCAATCACTTTTTACTGACTTTTTGGCAGTTTTTAAATGTGGCACTGTTGGTGCATTGTGTGTGTGTCCAAATATTGTGATACGTATCACGTGTAATGAAAATGTCTTTAAGTAACATAATATAACACTGCCCGCTCCTATACTAAACCAAAACAATAGCCAAATCAACAGCAAAAACTGGATAATATTCAATAATAATAAAAAATATTAAACTTGGAAATTGTTAAAATGGGACAAATTATATTGAGGTCGCTGTCAATTTACTTGGAGGCCGAGATAATAAGTCGTTTCATTTAATGTTGCAAATACCATGGCTGTAGGTGTGACTGGGTATGTACTGACCTGTAATTAACCCTGCAGTGATATAAAGCTCAATGATGGAATTTGTAAAGGCACTGGCCGCCATCCCCAACCCACTCAAGACTCCTCCCAGCATCACTGTTGCTCGACAACCAAATCGTTCCACTAACACACTGCACAGTGGACCTGAGAAGGAAAATTAGGGGGAAAAAACACACCAAACAAACCATTGAATCCACAGGGGCTTAGCATGAGGATTAAATACTATAATCCAACAGACTTTTTTGCACAAGGGTCTCCTCTAAATACCACTTTGGAACAATGAGGTGGTTTGTTCATCACAGTGTGAAATATGCATCATTGTATGTCTCATACTGAAATTCAAGTGCTTTCATTACTTCACTCCTGCATAGCTGCTATTGGGTAAAGTTTTATTTTTCTCACAACCACTCTACTTCATCATACTCTACTTCATAACTGCTTAAAATATCAAGGAGATCTTACCATACACATACATTTTATGACAACAGAAACAGTTACAATGCAACTGTAATGTTCACCCAGAATGCTTATTAAGCTCTGAAACAACAAATGGTCAGTGGTAGCTAAAACAGCATTATTCAGGAATTTGCAAATTCTGGAGGTCAAAATGTAGTTTAAGAACACGCATCAAATGCTGTGGAGCTATTTCAGCCAGAACGGTCAATTTTAACTACAGTGGTTTCCAAAAATTCTAAGACCACTAATGAAAATGCTTCTGCATTCTTTTCTAATTTAACACAATTTTATTCATTACAAATTGTATTATCAGCATAAAAGTAGAATACTTAAAATGTTTACATGCATTTCAGAATTTCTTAGTATCTGGTAGGTCCCCATCCTGCTTTCACGACTAGGTACACTCCACATTTGTTCAAAGATTTGTTCAAAAGTCTCTAAAGAGCAGATCAAATCCATTTGAGAGTCTTCTGAATAAGTGTCTCAATGAAAGAGACAAGACTAAAAAAATCAGACCTTCTTGTTTAAAGCCTTAACAACAATATCAGTATCACAACTGTGTTTAAATTTGAATTAGAAATAGAACTGAATTTTGACTATTTCTGTGAAATTAAGTTCTTTGTTTAAACTTTAAAACCTTTCAAACATCACATTTTAAAAATGTTCCAAATTCTAAAATGTTCTGTTGTTTTTTTCCTGGTTTAAATGAAAAAACAAACCCCAGATTTTTCTATGTAGTCTCAGACTTTTGAACCCCACTGTATCTAGCAATGAAAACAACAGAACTACTGCACTCACTGCATATTTTGGAGTTTTCTCTGCTGTAATACAACTGATCCAACTAATCCTCTGGTTGAAGTTGGTGTGTTAGAGCAGGGAAACACTGAAATGTGCAGGGCAGTAGTACTCCAGGGCCAAAATTAACAGACTGGCATAATCTTGTAAATTTATTGCTTAGATTAGTCTCAATTTTCAAGACAGCAAACAGCAGAGAAAATACATCGGATTTACCACATCACATCCTTATTACATAGAAGAATTCTTTTTGGCTTTGAAGAATGACTTTTTGACTAGTAGATGTTCAAAGGAACTTTTACAAGGTCTGTGAACAAGATAAGTAAGTAGTTAAACAATCACGTTGGTCATAAATTAAGACATTTGACCTTAGCTACCAGTGAGTAAATACTTAGAAATGCCCTTTATTAACTGATCAAACAAAAACACTCGCTGACTTTTACAAAGCACTTTTAAAAGGCTTTCTGTGTATACAAAGAGCTCTACATGGTCACCGTGAGCAAGCAAATATTGGTGGTCAATATAGTCTCTCTCTCTCTCTCTCTCTCTCTCTCTTTATCTCGCACTCTATCTCTTGCTCTCTGTCTCGCTACTGACAATAAAGACTAATGTGATCTGGCATTAAATGGGCCTTGGTGGGAAATTGGAATGAAACAAACACACACTGGCTGCAGACTAATGTAAGTGTGTCTTTGAGTGATAAAGCATCAGTCTTAACACGCAGAGCAGATGTGAAGTAACGACCACAGCTTCCTGTTCACAAAGGGAAGTCAGACAAAGCCCAGGGTTTTGCCCACTCTTAAGAGATACCATCACTTTCCTGACAACTGCAGAGATCTAAACAACTCCTAATGCTTCAGGTTTTTGTGTTTTAATGATAAAACAATCTGCCTTCAGATTATGGTAAATGAAAGTTCTGAAATATTTCTAAACAGGCTGCTTAAACTGCATATCTGTATGTGGATCCATACTTCAATTTCTCACTCCATAACTACATAACTTACATATTATTTTCATAGTACTATAAAAAATGATTTGATATTTTAAGTTAAAAACCTAATATCTTGCAAAAACAATTTTTGCCTCGTTTTTTTAAAAAAAAGAGTTTGATGTAATGTATAAACACTGTTAAAATTTCAAAACATACTGGTCACTCCCCACTCCATACAGTTTATACATAAAACTAAGCTGTTTTGGATTTACTGTTTCTGTGATGTCATGAAAAACAGCCTATCTCTACCTCCTTTTTAGTAACTCCTGAATAAGCCTGCTGCTGTTTAAGGGGCATAAGCTCACACTCCAAAGACCAACCACTGCATTTCATTCAGTAAAGATGTTATTATTAACAGTAGGCTAAAATGTGCTTTCTTGAATCTCTACCTCCAGCATGTAGGACTGCAGTCATTATAGACGGCACCCAGGATGTTATGCTGTTGCTGGCACTGAACTGTTTCTGAAGATCCGTGTAGAAGATGCCCATACAGGATGGAAAAGCCAGTGTCAGGGCCAGAACCACTATGGAGGCCATCAGGACCACCCAGCCCCAGCCCCCATCTGGTGCAGTAATGGCTACTGGACGGGCTTCAGCCAAGGGTGCATCTGCCCCTTCTTTATCCCCATCCTCAGCCTCGCACTCTGCCATGGGGGCCATGTCTGCTTCTTGAGAGTGATTGTCTGCCATGCTGTCTTTATCTGTCTTAGTGGCCCAAGACCCTCTTCGGTGGTCTCAGCAATGTTTTGAAGGCAGGTCTACACCTTTCCGTGCATTCCATGTCACCTCCCCACAACACAAGGGGCCTCTGTAGGAAAAAATAAAACATGATTGATTCATTTGTGCTCCACTGTAACCAACCACAAGCACCAACTGCCAAATTTTATTAAATTAATGTAAAAAAACAACTAACAACTAATTTACAAAAGTACCTTCCTGATAGGTATTAAAAACAACTTGGCATAATTTGCACAAAGTAATTTATATATTTAACCTTAATTTTTCTAAAAAGTCCCTATTAAAAGTCCATATTAAGTCCCTAATAAATAAAGTAATTTATTTTAGTTATTAATAATTTAACTTTAATTTTACTAAAAAGTTCCTATTAAGAATATAAGGCCTTAAACGATAACAGATCAAGCATGACAATACTATTCTACAAATGACAAACCGAACAGAGACAAAACAAACAGAAAAAAAACACAAAGAGAAAAACAATTCATACTCACAAAGCATTTTAACATGATGCAAATCTAATTATCCAATGTAATAACATCAGCAAATATATTTATATTACACAATCGGTGCTGTTAGATACATTTTTTGTTAAGTATCGAAAAAAAGAACACTAAAATCTTACATGTCCATATAGTTAAGGACAACAAACAGTGCAAGGCTGTGTTCTTGGTTCAAAGAGGAAAATGTCTTATGTGAGTTCATATATACTGCTTATTACTGCATTTATAAGCAGCCTGACTGCTTTATGTACTTATCGGTGTTTTAGTGTGTTGGGTGACAGACCGTAGGGGTGAAGTCTGTAAGCAGTTTGAAATATGAGAGATCTGTAATCTGTAATAGATCGCAAAATATTTGCCAAGGCCGACAACTTGGAAATGGGTTTTTAATGTGTCGGTAGGGACAGGCCATCGCCCTTGATTTTGAAAGCTGAAGGTACAACAGCCCATCCATTAAAGTTTAAAAATGTGGGCAGAAAAGTCAATGATATGAGCACCACGTCTCAACAAGCTTTACTAACAGCCCTATAAGCATCAGTGAGTGACTTTGGTGACCGGCATGATTTCATTTTAAAAATCAAAAGAGTATATTTTTATTTTTATCTCCTCATAAAAGTGTACAGATGCATCAATAATTTGGCCAGGGCGTTTAGCTATTCCCAGAAGTTAAAATCTAAGTGCGTAGCTTTGTACCTTTGATGTTACGTTTCCAAACTCTGGATCTCTCTTCCCCTGGACAATACTTTAAAAGCATGTTCATCAGTAATGTCTTAATACTCGTTTTTACTTTTTCCTTTGCTGTTTTTTAATATGGTTAAATTTTACATTTGCTTTTTTTGATTTTTGTTTTATTTTAAATGTTTTAATTTTCTTCTTTTTGTGTTCATTGTTTTATTTCAATGTCTTATATGGATGTTTAGTGGCTTACATTTATTATTATTATTATTATTATTATTATAATGTTTTTTTCTTCAATTTTCTGAAAATTGTATTGTGTTGGGAAGCACTTTGTGACCTCAGCCTGGAAAGGTGCTGTGTAAATAAACACTTACTCTTATACTTCATGTAGCTGAGGCTTTTTTTTGCAAAACTAGAGGTCAGAAAAGAAATTGTGGAAAACTTTAGAGTATTCTTTTAAAGAATTATTATTTTAAAGTGTTATCAGAATAGCTCATATATATGTTCACAGAGACCTAGAGCGTCATACAAACTAAAATGAAATCTCTAACATAATTTTTCAGTCCACACTAGCCTGTCAGTTTCACCCTGTCAGCCAAGCACTCCCTCTAGCCTACACAGGAAACAGCGGCTTGTTTACATATGGTTCTGGACTGGTCAAGTTATCCGGGCATTAGAAATTCAGAAATGTGTGTCCAGCAGTCATTTAGACTCGGAGCTTCCCAGACTTATAATCACATTTACAGCGGGTCATACATTTAGCAGTTCGGTTCCGGGAGACTGGTGTTTTAGCAAGAGAGGGACAAAAAACAGGCTACTTGTTGCCGTTGTGTGTCCTCTACTTACTAGCAATGCTATATGGTCAGCATAGAGCACAGAACTTAAGTCACTTAAGCTTGATGTAAGTTACAAAAAACATGAGAGAAGAAAGAAATAACAAAGCAAACGGGCTTTAGAAAAGGTAATACGTAGCTATACATATGTGTGCTGAACTAAAATCCGTTCGGCACAGACCTCACACTTCAATAACTCAATATCAAACAACGCGCTGCTGATAGTCTGGCGGTACGGCCGGGGTTTTCCCCGAAGTCTGCTCCCCCTGTCCTTATACTCATGGCCGAGCCACTCAAATGAACCACCTACCTTCAGCCAGTCGGTATATGAGCTTGCTTGGTCATCTTGTGCTGTCTTTGCGCTGCTGCTGCTGCTGCTGGGGCCGCGTTGGCGAGCAGAGAAGGGGATCATGTTCGCTGTGTGGAGGGCGGGGCGACGCCACGATATGCAGAAAGGAGTAGGCAAATATTAACCAATTAAATCTGCCCTCAGCCTCTCCACTGTTTACCCTTGTGTTTTGTATTACGATACAGACCATTGAGCTCAGTGATGGTTCGTTTGATGATGAAATGTGAGAACTCCAGCTGCGGCATGACAGCCTCACACACCAGCAGAGAGATAACAGATAAGGAAGTGCATCTTAGAGTGTGATTGGACGGCTTCTGTTCATGTTCTCAACTAGTGGTTCCAAAACCTGCCGTGTATATTTTAGTACACTCTTTAAAAAAGATGGTTCTTTAAGGGTTCTTTAATTAAAAAGAACAATTTGCATGCTTCAAGGGTTCTTTGCATGGTAAAATGGTTCTTCAACTTGATGGAGAATGTGTTGTATGTGGTTCTACATGGAACCTTTTTGAAAATGATTCTACGAACATACCCTTGAAGAACCATCTATTTTAAGAGTGTACCAGCTACAATTCACTCAGTTACATTTACTCAAGTATCATTTTGTTGGATTTATACTTTCTTGAGTATTTTCAAATGGTTTTATTTCTGCTCTAGTTTATTTGAGGAGATTAATCTTACTGCAGTCATTACAATTTAATTACTAATTCCCTTTTAACTTCATTACATTAGATTGCTGACAACATCCGGTCACACCTCTGATGTCGGAAATTTACCTTAACTTTAAATTTAGACCAAAAGTGCATCAAAAGTAGAACAGTTCAGACCCCAAACTTCAGTTCCTATACTGACAGAGGATTTACTAAAGGTCCACCACAGTTCTGTAAGTTATCCAGTACTTAAGTAGTTTTTTGACTTGTACTTTTGTATTTCTGCTCAGGCTGTGTTTTGGAAAGGTACTTAAGTCAGCATTTCACCAAAATAACAATACTTTTCTTTGATTTAAGATGCATGGTGATCTTAGAATTTACTAATCTTTTACAAATATACAGTAGGTAAGATTTCTGCTTCTGTAAAACATTTTTTTATTCAGATACGGTGTACATACATGCTCAGTTCTCTGGTAAACAATTGCAACAAAGTTCTGTGATAAAATGAGAACTACAACATTTTGAACACAAATACATTTTATGATAAAAATCAGACATTTTTTCCTCTTTGCAATCTGTACATTGAAAGAAACTGCATCAGAAGACAAACTTAAAAAATAAAAAAAAGAAAAATTAAAGGACAGTCTTACCGAGACTATTCATTTCCAACACTTAGCTCCACGATCTCCATTTAGACAAAGGTCACACTTGACATCGATACAGTTGATAACTTAATACACTCAAAACATCTGGTGTAAGTAGCAGGTTTTCAATACATGTTTAAATGTCTTTCTTTGTATGTGTGCGCACATGCACACATGTGTGTACTGTATATCAAAGCATGCAGGTGTTGCAGACTAACTATTATGGCAGTCTTGAAAACTAACCCCGTCACGAACCCTTTTTTAACGTGAATAAACATAACAGAGGTCTGCGTTCCTGCATTCCAGTTAGGTTAGCTTCCAAATGGCCATTCAGCGCTAAACATTTTATCAGAATATCCTGTGGTGAAGATTACTTAGTGTTTGGACAAGACGAAATTAAACAAACCATAAAAACCACAGAGTTCTGTGGCCACGTTTAAGCCCAGAGCTGCAGACCAACTGTCTGAAAGTTCCACCTTGCACACATTTCCAAGGCTCTAGTCACTGTCCATGCACCACTTTACCCCTACACTAACACAAGGCCAGACAAAGTCCCAGTATATAATATTATATACTTTAACACACTGCATGCGTTCAAGTCCACGTACCAAAAAACAAGGGCCCCCTCTTTCCCCTTCAGATTCTACAGAAAACAGTATATCATTTAGCTTAGTTTTTTCCCCCCACAAAAACATCTTTTTGCCTCATATCTCTTACTGTTTGACCACAAACAAATGGGAGGACCATGAAGAGGGAAAAGAAATGTTTAATATAATAATATAATAATATTAAAAAAGAACTATATTACCTATGTACGCCAGTGGTCTAAGTGCGTCTTAAAACTACTAAAAGTAACGGTCACTCTGACGTCACTGTTTTTACACGGCCCAAAGCAAACTGCAGCGGGTCTGCAGCGGCTTGACATTTTTATGTGACCTTGATACGAGCACACCTCTATGGAGGTCAGAAAACTGTAAGACATGGACATACTTAAAGTGCAAGTAAATACAAGATTAAGGGCACAAATGAAACTTTTTCTTATGACACAAGGGAAAAAAATGAAATGGCACAAGGGCAATCTGAAAAGCTAAGATATGATAAACGCATACAGTATTTGAAACAACTGACCAACAAGCAAGTATAGTCAGACACTTGCCTTTACATTAAGGGCCAGTTTGTTAGACCCACATTAAACCTAATAAGGATTTTCAATGATGAAACACCATTGGCATTGCAATTTAGTCCAAGATTAGGCTTAATCCATGTCCAGGAATCCAGCCCAAGACGGATTCCAAGGAGAACAGTGGGACAAAGGACGTTAGACGGCTGGATTTGCTACAAGAATGATGAACGTAACTCATCAAATCAGATTGCCCCCTACCTTACAAGATTAATAAAAGAAACACAACGGCACAGATCAAATCTTAGTTTGCCACGGGGAGTCTGTAGTTCAGAAGCCCATTATGAGAACTTCAAAAACAAACAACTGGGGTTGAACAAAGAAACTCTCCAGGGGATGAATTTCAGTAAGTGAGATTTCTTTGTGAGCCACACAACTCAAGCCAAACTCTTAGTGTCCAAATACGAGAAGAGGTAAGTGACATACTGGACAAGTTTTACTTAAAATGATCCTGCCAACTGAGAAAACCTGCTTTGTTAAATAAAAACATTAAAGGCAAGCAAATGGAGCACATTTAAGCCCCCCTTCTCTTGCTGCTCATTTTGAAGAGTGAAAAAGCACAATGTAAAGGTGAGGGAAAGGGGAGGGACGATTCCCAACATATAAGCACACAACATTTGAAAACACTGAAGACAAAAAAAAGTTCACATTGACATAATGTACATAATGCTGCCTGTGGCTGACAGATAGAGATGCTTTTCAATGGACATGAACATCACAACCTACACCAAGTCATGCCATTATCCATACAATGATACTGAACAAGAGATATGTCAAAATACTGTCAACACATAATGAAGCAAACTGTATGTTAGCTGATGAGCAGATTCTTGGATTTCACAACTTTACAAGTGAAATATTTAGATCATAATCTAGTCTTGATTGGCTAAATATCAAACATCGAGGGCAATTTATTCAGTGTAAAAGAGGACCAAATACTGTCCCTGATGTCAAAGCATTAATGAATTTAGCAGTTTAACTGAAGTAATATAATACATTTTGACAAGAGGGTAAGCATCTCAGTCCATGTAAAATAGTGCCCTTAACATTCAATGCTACTCCACTGAAACTCACATAACTTCTTTAAATAGCCAAAATATTATGACATTATAGGAAATACTGGGGCTGAACTCTCAAATAAACAATCATATTAGAGAACTATAGTTCTGTCCCAACTCCAAACACTTTTTCAATCAACAGTCTCATGGAGCTCCTATATGATATGCTGAAGAATTTATGTATTTCTATAACGTAAAACAAAAATATTATTGAGAAATAGTGTGAAATAAGACCATGATTCCCATTTTCCAGTCATAGATTAATAGCTGGAAGGAGAACACAATACAAAAATTTACATATCAGTGACCAGGCACTAGACAAATAATCTAGGAGCGTGGGTCAATTCATAATCTTCCCAGAAATGGAGTAATTCATCTTGCTAAACAAAAACGACTGCTGTGGTACAGATATTAACAATTACATGACTTGCATTCAACCTTTTTGTAACAGATGTATTTGTAATATAATTCTGACATGCCCCAAAATTGCACACTTATTTTTATGTTGTTTAATGCTGTCTGAATGTGTGAAATGTCCATAGCAACAGAAAAAACCTATTCCAGGATGACATGAATCATCCTGAATTAATGAGTTATGGGAGAAATTTTCCGATTCATGGCGGCGAACTTGGGTGGGATGCCCAACCGGGAAACTGTCTGTGTACTCCCTTCCCTTCTAGTCATTCCTGGGCCATATCCAAGAAGGCAGACAGACTTAAAGAGATTAACACACTATAAACTAGAGACAAAATGCTGCATGTTCAGAGGCCATCTCCTATGTCCCAGCGATCTTGCTCCACGCTGTGTGTTATGCCAGGCGGGGTAGATGAGTGTTGCTGCAGATGTTCACTCACTCAGTCACTCATGTGCTAACAAGTTAATGTGCTTGTTATGAGAAGTGGAGTAGGGAGTGGGGGACAAACAGTTCTGTTTTGTCTACTTTCGTGCCCCTGGAAGTCCTGAGGAGTTTTCAGTGATGTAGACACAGCCTAGCTGAGCAGCACATTCCTTGAAACTAGCATGCCAGCAACAATGTATATTATGATTATGAGCAGGATATGAAGGTGCTAATGTTCCGAGGCAACGTGGATGTCTAAGGTTATAGTGACAGATAAACCTCGTAAACCTTACTTGGACTCCTCCCTAGCCGCCACTGGCAGTCTTGCAACCATCACAGATTATCTGAATTATAACCTGTTTAGCATTTCCGATTAGTTGATAACAGCAGTGATCACTTGTGGTGGTGCTGGATGGGTGATGTTGCAGCACTGCAGGGAGGGGGGTCAGGACACCCCCACTGCGGAAAGGCACAAGGGAGGAGGGTGAGAAAAGGAAGGGCGGGTGTGTGAGCTGATGGACCTGGAGTGTGCTGTATGGTGAAGAAGGGAAAGAAGTAGTGAGGAGAAGAAGGGACTGAGAGATTTGTGTCAGCACAGCTAAGAAGGTCTCCTCACATCCGGGAACCTCTCTCCTGAAGGATCTATAAAACAGGGAAAACCAACAGATTCATGAAATCTTGCCAGACACTACTGCATCAAACATAATGCAATATTTTAATGGAGTACTGAATAAGGATAGCTGGATAAGCCTGAGGATGAAAGAATGCGACTATTTTTGGCTCAGAAAGTAGTGTGTCTAGAGCGTCTAGATATGTATAAAGGTCAGCAAAACATGTAAAAGAGAGTTATCTACTTGATAGCCTTATCAAAGATGGAAAAAAGTCCCATTTCTGATCTTGTGTTCAAATCTGGATCTGGAGAAATGTAGGTATTTAACATTTCTTGTCTGTGCTCAATTAACACCTGATAAGATCAAAGTTGGACTGCAAAAGCTTTAAACATTGTATAGTGCATCTCTGTTTGACTCACCTTAGCCTTCTCAGTTGGCTCAATAACAATTCCATTAGTGGAATTGTTGAGCTCCCTAGAAACCACACACAGGAACTCAGCCTGGTCCTCGTTGCCATAGTTGTAAGAGGATCCAATGCTTATGAGCTGAAAAAGCAAGCAAGTTGAATCAGGTTCATACCATCACAAAAGTTACTCTAAACCAAAACAAGGGGGTCAACTGACGCAAATAGGTGCTGGAACACAAAATATTCCCTTGACTCACGTCTTAAATTCTTCTACCTGAACAACATCGTCTGGGACATGCATGGGCTTGCACTCCATAAAAAACGAACAAAAAAAAAACAGTAAAATAACTAAGTAGAGATAACTACAGATCCATGACTGTTCTGTGTGAATGAATAGTTGACAAGATCACCCACTGAGGTGTTTATCTAATCAAGCGCAATTCACTTATGCTGAAATTACAGCTGGGTATTTTCAATGACCAAATACTAGCTCTAAAGAAATGAAGCAGAAAGCTCTATACAAAGAATGCTAACTGATCCACCCCACTGAATAGGGATCATCATTCAGAACGGCAACGTGCTCTAACAAATGACGTCCACCAATGATAAACACAACCACACACACTCATGAAAGGGTAAAGCACAAAGAAAAAGGCTCACCTGCTCAAACTTCCATCCGTCAGACATTGTGGAGACCATTTGGGTGAGCTCCTCTTCCTGACACTGGAGTACACGGTATACATGCTTTACAGGGCCCTGAAAAGACAAAAATCTTATAATGTCATGTGTCTAAGTTTTTCAGTTACAAAAAACCTTGTAAATACCAGATGATAAAATACAGATAAAAAGAGAACGTTACTATACACTTATTATAGCATAATTTTTTAGGCAATCCAAAATCCATATGAGAAAAAAAAAAAATCACGTGATTCCACAGTTCTAAATTTGTTCCAAAATAATTTTGATTTGTCTAAAAGTCTTGTGTTGGATATAGGAGAATGGAAATGACTGCCATGTAGGTCTTTGCTCATTGTTCTCTGTGTAACCGTTCCTGCTACTTTTAGGTCATCCTACAGCTTCTCTCATTCACATTAATCTGAGAGAAGTCTTGCATGGTGCACCTGTCCAGGAACGATTAGTTGTGGCTCCATGAACTTTCCAATTTCATATTATGTTGACAGGAATATTTAAGGTCTTTGCAGGGTTCTGCAGCTTCTTCTATTCAAGTGTTGTTTAATAATGTTGTCCCTGAAAAATTTAGGAAGCTCCTTCATCTTTACCATGATTGCTACATGTTACATAAAATCTTCCCAACCAATGGCATCTTGGTGAATTTTAGACTAGAACCATTTTTGCACCATTAATATGCAGAATTTGGCCTTAAACTTTACATGTATGTATATTTTAATATAGTGTCTAAATACCTGTCTCCTTATCAATTTCTTTTGTATGCTTATAAATACATACTTTTTCTGTTCACATACAAAGCTACAAAGTTAAAAGACATATTAAGTTTAAATTAAATTATATTTAACAACAAAAACAATATGTATATGAAAAAACAAACATGCTGAAGTAATGAGTTTGAGTTTCTCAGTGTCTTAAATATGTCCCAATAAAAGTCACACAGCAAGACATGACGTATAAGAACTAAAGAAAGCAATTAAATAATAGGTAAAGTTCAGCTGTACGCTCATTAAATACAGATAGTTTTAACTTCAGTAAACTGTTGGTTGCAGCACTATTAGTATCAGTTCATTGTGATTATACCACAGTCTAGGAAAATGAGTGGCCAAAAACCTTTTCCTATTTCCATTTATAGCCTTTCTATTTGCACACTGCAATTTCATAACAAGAAGCAGCACTTTGTCTAATTATTTTTTTATGAACCTGAAAAAAGTCAAAGGAGCAATTTATATCACTAATTACTTATGCGACTCAATCCATCTGCATAGCTAAATCAAGCTCACAATCAAGCACCCCCTCCCCATCTATTCCCACCTGGGACGTCCTGTTCTCGTTGTCTCGTATTCTCTCCTTCACCAGCCTCACCAGTGATGCAATGTTGTAAAATTCAGCTTCCTCAAGAACACCTGCAAACAAGACAAGACATTATTGTAACAAATTTCAAACAAAGCAAAGCTGTTAATTATTAAAATTTACTGGGAACAAAAACATTTTCATCCTGTTAAATGCATACAGTTTTTCCAAAGGGTTAAAATGTGCATTCATGACTAATAAACATTGCTTTTTTACTGCAATTTTAGGAATCATATTTTACTGTACACAAGTTAATGGAGCATGAAACACTGAATTAAGATGCAAATGTGAAATACTGTAAAGCCTCCATCAGCAAAATTTTACTTTTAATTTGTGAGAACAACTTAAAATTAATATTTTGGGAAAAAAAATCTTAAGACATTTAGCTTAAATGAGTTTATATATCACCCAAAGCTCAGATTCTGTATCAAAAAATAAGTTTTAAAAAGAGAGAGCTGGGGTAAAGAGACCGCAAGATAGTTTAACTATTACACGGTTAAGACTGTGATTATGTCTGATACAACGCTTTGGACACATACTGTCCCTAAGAGAAAAATGTACCATTCCTGTAGCTTTTACCTACGCTGTGGGGACGTTGTGTTCCAGTAGTAACGTAGCTACAGAAAAAGGTGCTTCTAAAAGCAACCATGCTATTACTGTTATTATGATGGATCAAAGACAGAACATCCAGAGCATCTCACCCTCTTCTGCAAGGTTCTTGTTGATGATCAGTTTTCCATGCCTCAGGTAATTCAAAATGGGTCCAAAGTATGTGGGGTCCCTATCAATCAAATAAGCTCCTGTCTCATCCTGTGCAGGAAACAGTGGTAGGTTATGATCAGTTCCAAAGGAAGGCCAAAGATCCAGCAAAAATCGCACTTAAATATCAAATTTTCCACTGCAGGACTAGAGGACTGACCACTGTTTCTTTATGGTTTCTTTATGGTGAACTATGAAACAACTGTCTCAAAGAACATGCATTAGCTGATTCTGGTAATTTAGCCCATTCCAGTTCTGTGCACCTTCAATAGACATACTCACAGAACAATGAGAGAGAAGTTCTGAATGAGGGATAAAAATAAGAAGGAAACATGATGTTTTAGCTTGATAGGCTGAACCCTACTAATCACAGATCAATAACCTGTGTGTGTAATTATATCTACATAGTAGAAGTATTCTCTTCTCAGGCTGGTCCTGCTTATAACTGCCTGGTTTTCAATCAAGCACAGGCAAGTATCTGCTTCTCAGACTCTCATCGTCTTCTGGAATTTATACCATGTGTGTGAAAAAAGGGAATCCTCAGTGCAACTCCTGTAGGCTAGGTCTAGTAATATGATAGATGTGAAAAATCTCCTGACTCTTATATTACAGACACATACATTTTTGACCATTTGGACGCATAGATTCACTGATAGATCTGTGCACTTTGTTACACTAACACTGCACATGCTTTTCAACAAAACTTTTCTGGTTGAAGTATTAACTAATTAACAAACTCCTCATGTGCTAGGACAGGTGTATTATAGAAAAAGAAACACAAAAATGTGCAGAGCATCACATTGGGAACCACTGCTTTAAACTCTAAGTGCAGCAGAAGCACTGCAGTTACTGCAGGTGCTGTGTGCTGTAAATGTTAAGCAAATACTTTGAAACCCACCTTATCTGAGTCAAGGTCTGGATCTTCCTGACATAACCGATACAGAAAAGATTTGGGTTCCCTGCACAAGGTCTGTTTCGTGGTGACGAAGTAAGTTCCCCCGACGTTCAGCCGGACCCACCGGGAGCCCGGTTTTTCCGCAGGTTCTGATGGGGAACTCGGGCTGCTCTTCATAGGGAAGCCGAAGACGGCTCTGGAGCCGGACACTCCGGGACTGGACAAGCCGCTGCGAGGCGGGAGCACCAGGGTGGGCGAGGGCAGTCTCACGCTAACCGAGCCGCGGTGCTCGCTCTGCTCCAAGATGCCAGTCGCGTTCGCCTCAATGTGTAACTCAGCCATATTTTCCAAACTCCAAACAGTCCGTCCCAATCAGCAGGATTTTTATTACAAATTCCAACAGCCAGCTAGCGAACTTCCCTCAGCTAGCTAATTATGTAAACAACAGCTAGCCGGCTAGGCAACTAGCGAGCTAGCCACAGACAGCCTTCTGTCTAAAGAGGTGGCTGTCCGGAGAGCGCCGTACAAACGAAACGAGTTCGGTCTAAACGCATTGATAACGGGGACGAAGACCATGCATTCTGTGAGTAACGCTGGCCTGAGTCGACATATTTTATCCTTGGATATAACGCGACATTTATCCGCCTTGTTTATTCAAACGACTCATGTAGGCTACAATTATTATGGGAACTACAGGCGAGTACTACCGGGTCGGTATCACCCCTACCTGACACAATAAGAGCACCACTTTAAGAGTCCACTTTACAAAATATACCGAGGCAGTTTTAAGGTTGTTTAAACGGTTTAAAAAGAGTAATGAAGTGTAATTTATGATACCACAACCAGGAACTAAGTCTCCTTATTTTTCTTTCACTTTAGTTTTTCACCCTTTTTATTACTTGTGTTTATGCTTGCACATTTATGATTTTTTTGTTAAGCACATTCTTCTTCTTCTTCTTCTTCTTATTATTATTATTAGTAGTAGTAGTAGTAGTAGTAGTAGTAATAATAATAATAATAATAATAATAATAATAATAATCGTACTATGATATATTCTAGCATTGGGGTTGTGACCATGCTTGGAGGCCCTTAGTTTACAAGACATCCCAGCATATATTTTATCAAGCTCTTATCTGTGGATTCAATGAAGCTACAATAGAATATCTACACACTTGATGTTCATGTTGCTTTATTAAAAAAATTACACATATTCAGACAATCAAATCACTGTTGACTCCTGTGTAATGCAGTCAGTAGAAATCATCTGGAACTTGGTCCACTAACTTTACAGCTTAACCCAGAACTTAAACCAACAGCCCTCCTTATAATTAGCATCCAGCCCTTATAGCTGTATCATTTCAATTTTAATGTGTTCAACATTTCAACAATTCTACATACAACTTTATTGTAATATTTTACAGCAGATACTGAGCAGAAAGCTGTTTTACCAAATTTTCCTTCTGTTTACTCTCCGTTCAACAGTACATCCAAGTTTTGTTCTTTAGTTCCCACTCTGAGATGCAGAATCGCTAATGAACAGTCCCATGTCCTCCAGGGCAGTGTGGATGTCCTTCAGTAAATCCTGTAGTGGTTTCAACACTGGAGTGACATGCTGTGCAATCCATTCTTCCACTGTTGATTCTGGGTAAAGCAGGCACATCTCCTGCCGCACCTCATGCACCTTGAACTCTACAGCTTCCAGGAACCTGGGGGAAGGGAAGATTTAGAAATGGGCTATATTCTCGGCTTAAAGACTTGTCATAAAGCAGATATCACAGCATGATAAACAGGGTGTGTGAGCCGATTCTGCTTTGTCTATTGACATTGTCACAATCTATAAGAAACTATAAGATGTTGTGAGTTGATGGCATGATTTGTGCCATGGAAGCCTTATAAAATCCTAGTGCTTTGTAACTAGTCACATGTAAAGCAATTCTGCATACTTGTATTAAATCAGAACTATGTTAAAGTGCAGTTTTACAAAAATGTATAGAAGCACACATTTTCGCCTGTTTCTGAATTTGTTCAGCAAAAAGAGGGTTGATGATCTTTCTCTGCCTGTGATAGGGTGAGAACCAGCCTCTTACACACCTGTGTACAAGAATACAAAAGAACAGTTTGATTAGATGCATGACCTGGTATAACAAATTCATTTTCTCCCATAAGTATCTAATTCACACCAATACAACCATATTTTACCAGTATTCTCACCCAACTTACAGACTGCTCTCAAAGTATCGGAGTTCTTCAGACTCTAGCATTGCTGTGAGCTGTACAATGATTTCAGCTAGTTTCATCCCAGGATATGCACGGGAGTTAGCCTGAGACAATCTGAACCACAGAGAAAACAACAATGCAATCAGAAAGCCTACATTTAAAGTAACATCAAGTAATTCTCTTTTGTATGCTAAAAGGTTAAAAGAACACTCTCGAAAACCTTATATAAGTCAATATTACCATGACATCAGTTTGCAAGGTTTAGCCTACATTGCCCAGTCACTTTGTAACTGAACAAAACAAGCAAGCAGTAAATTAGTGATCATAAATGATTGACCATATGAGTAGATGGAAGTTGTGACAAAAAAGTACATATACTATAACTTGAAATAGTACAAACTTCAAATAAGGAAAAGTGCTAATAAAAACAGAAAGTAGTGATTTGTAAATCCACTTTTTCACTGCATTTAAACAAAACAGTGAAAAGACAAGTTATGTAATGTTGTACCTTCAACATCAACTTTATTGTTTTGTTTTTTTTTGTCTAATCTGAAATGGATGCCTGCAACACGTTCCAAAGAAGTTGGAACAGGAGCAGTTTAAGACGAGAATTGTTGTGAAATGTCTAAAAAACATCTTAAACAGATGATGCAATCATGCTTGGGTATTAAAGGAGCATCCAGAAAAGGCTCAGTCCCTTATGAATAAAGATGGTTTGAGGCTTGCCATTTTGCCAAAAAGTGCATCAGCAAATGATCCAACCATTTAAAACAACATTCTTTAACAAGCGGTTGCAAGAATTAAAGGTATTTCACTCTCTACAGGGCAGAATGTAATCAAAAGATTCAGGCTATCAGGAGAAATCTCTGTGTGTAAAGGTCAAGGCCTAAAACCATATATATATGCCCATGAAGTTTGATCCCTCAGACAGCATAGCATTAAAAACTGGTGTGCTACTGTGATGGATATCACCACATGGACTTAGGAATACTACAACAAACCGTTGTCACTAAACACAGTTTGTCACTGCATCCGCAAATGCAAGTCGACTGTAATATGCACAACAGAGGCCATAGTCAACAACCTCCAGAACTTCTCTGGGCTTCAGCTCAACCAAAAAAGACGGATGCACAGTAGAATCATGAATTGTGGTCTGACAACACAACCTTTCAGACTGTTTATGGAAGTAATGGAGTCGTGTCCTCTGGGCCAAAGAAGAAAAAGACTATCTAGATTGTTACTGGCTGTCTTGGTATGTCTTGTCTTAGTATGGGGGTGTATTAGTCTGTTTGTCTCGGTATGGGGGTCTGTCTTGGTATGAGGATGTTTTAGTGTTGATGGCATGGGGAACTTCTGTGAAGGCACCACAAACACTGAAAGATATATAGACATTTTGGAACAACACATGCTGCCTTTTAGATGCCATCTTTTTCTGTTTCAGCATGACAATACTAAGCCACATTCGGCCCATGTTACAACAGCATGGCTGCTTAATCAGAGAGTGTAAGGGCTGGATCGGCCTACCTGCAGTCGAGAACTGTCTCCTGAAAACAGAAAACGTGCCGCATTATGAAGCACAAAATATGACAGCGAAAGCCCCGGGTGGTTGTGCAGCTAAAGACTTGTACAACGGAAAAATGGCAAAAATTCAAATATTTTTTTTGTATGCAATCTAATATAGGTCAAATATAATTTCCTAACCATTGCTTGTTGTTTTTATTAGCACTTCACATACTGACCCAAGCTTTGTTACTTCCTCATTAAACGCACTCATTAAACAAAACAAGGCCATTACAAGTTGAAACCAGAGTGTTAGAAGAGGGAAAACACTAATCTCTAAGAAGCTGTGGCCTGGAAGGAACCCAGTTTGAGACCTCGTGATCTACAGCTGTAGGATAAATTCCCCCAAAATGCTTTTGATGACAAATATTCAATAACATATAATAATACATAAAACAAGATTTTCCACTTAATTCTCCTTCTCTCCAATTTGTATAAATGTGTAATACCTTTCTATGTCTCCTACTTCAGTTGTTTCAGTGCCCAGTGCCTCCATCACTTTTTTCTGAGCCTCTTCAGTAAAGCTTCCTAACACAGTCATTGAAAACAGAATGAAGAGCCATGACAGTTGTTATCTTTGTCTGTGGATCTATTAAGCATACTATTATATGATTATAACACTGTTTGCTATAATTGTTCAGTGTAATGTTTTTTTTTTTTTACAGAAATAGAAAGAGGAGCAAAGAGACTAACCATGTAGAAGACACTGTAGACATGAGGCAAGAGAGTGCAAGCCGAGGGGCATCAATTCACACAAAACAGACAGGTGATCGTATCTTCAGCAAAAGATGTACAGCAAACGTTACACAGAACATTTAGAACCCGTTCTCCTGAAAAACTTCTGCTTTCCTGAAATCCAGACTTAACTATCTAAATACCTTTGCCACCCAGTCAGTGCAATGCCCTGTAGTTCAACTCCAGATGAAAGGCCAGATGCCACTTTTAACCACTGGAGATGGTTATCCACATGCCTTTGGGTACTGGTCACACAGGTGTGTACAGTGGTCGAGCCTTTAAAAGAGCTCGCAACCCACTGCTGTAATAAACCAGCAGACTTGTATTTCTCCATTAGCATAACTGTGTGGGGAGAACAGAACAATTCCACTGTCTTATTAAAATCAGCCTTCACCTAACTTTATGTAGCTGGTCTAATGTGGTTTAAAGTGGTGGTTAATAAGTTGATTAATTGCTTAAGTTTAAATCATGTCAATGGGTATAAATCAGTTTTTTGTAAATCATTAACAACGAGTAATGAATTAAAATAATGATTTCAGGGATATGATTCAGATATTATTCCAATATAGTTGATTGAGAGTGATTATTTGAATATGGTATATAGTCATATGAAACATTCAGACACCCTATTACTTAGTTCTTTGTTAAGAAATATGTAAAAATCAATATTAAACGTCCATATGTTTAAATATGGTAGCAACAACAAAGCTTTTCATGGGGTGTACTAATTTTTTTACATGGCTGTATGTATCATTAATGTTTTATGAATTAACTTCACTCACTTCTAATTTGGGGTTAACTAGAATGATATCTTGGTAATATGCATATCTAATTATAATTATCTTATTATAATTTGTATATTATTATTTATAATATTAATTACATCTGGTTGAATGTTTGAAGTGTATTTTATCTTTTCACAAGGTGTTTCAAAGTTCACTTAGAAGTCTTGCAAATGGTTCAGACGTCTAACTCATCTGATCAAAATAAAGCCTTGAGTTTCCTGAACTGTCTGGGATGGTTTCCACTTGATATTTAAATTCTGCTGTAAATGTCGTGTGTAAGCATAAACTCAAACCTTTCAGACCGAATATGTAACTCCTTCCAATCACATTTGTAGCCAACTATTAGTTTGACCAGTGATTTTTGTACCATCCTTCTGTGTGATGTTACAATACCATTAAAATGCCCTGTACACTTCTCTAAATTTCAGATATTATTGCCTGCTCTGAGATTTTATTTTATGCTTGTGATTTTGTTAGTCTGATTCCTGGCGTAGTGAAAATACTAAATCCTTTATCCACTTCATAACTCTGGTCGGCTCTCCTTGGAAACCTCTCAAGTAAACCCCTGCACCAAAAACTATATTACAAAGCCTGAACATAACAAAATACTGAAATGTACTTTTGAGTAAATAACAGTTTCACTTAATTTATCTGTTTTGCTGACTGCAGTCAGTACAAAGGAACACTTACTATTGTTGGCAACATCCAGAACAGGGCTGTAGTCCCATAGCATGGGTTGGACCAGTCCAACAAGTCCACTATCTAAAATAGCAAAAAGGAAAACTTTCTTTAAGTGTACTGAATGTGCTGACTCTCAGAAAAGCATTGGCATTTATATGCAATTTAACAGCACTTTGCACTGTTTTGACTTTTTAATGTTTTAATAAGTACCGTTGTTCTCATAAAGACAGCCTAGGAGCCTAGGCCTCTACAGATATCCTTAAGTTAAATTTAAGACTAAGAAGACTAAGAATGCCACTTCAAACATAGTCAAGACCAAAACTGCTGCCGTGATGATCTATCAAATATACAAAGTAACTCACACCTCAAAGTAAATACTACAAAGTAACTCACACCTGTTTTGCTGCATCTCTGCGTGTGCCAGCTCAACAGCAGGTAACATTAGTTTTAATGTGAACTACTGAGTCACAACCCCATTTTATTCAATGTGTGCTTAATGTGATTCAAATGTTTTCTAAAAAAAACTCAAATGACATCTGTCTGTATCCTAAAGTAAATTCCTAATAAAGGCCTTATTTGTAAGATGCAATTTCAGACAAATTAAGACTTTTCAAGGATCTGCAGACTGTTATGTATTTTTATTGTCTTATGAAGTTATCAGGTCTAATTAGATAAGAGAATAAAACTATTTTTCAGTAATACTCTTTCTAAGCACTAATAAGGAAAACAATGAAACAGGAGTGTTCACCTTTAATGGTGTCAGAGGTCATGCTCCTCAGCATGTCATCCCACATTATCACACTGAGGCTGGGGTAATTCTCTCGAATGCCTTTTGCCACTGTAGTGATATGTCTGAGGAACAGTTTGTTAATACTGTGACCTGGAATGCTTAACCACTCTTTAGACTCCTCTCCTTCACCCAGCATGTACACCTGGGAAAATGAACAATTCACATCACTACATTAATCATATATACACTCATATTAGCAGATGCTTCAGTGCAGAACATTTACCGGTGGTAATTTCTGAAAATGCTCACTATCAGGACAAAACCTTGTATCTCCAAAAAGGTAACTTTACAGGAGAATGAAAAACAGTCTGAATTTTGAATGGAAGATAATAAAAATTAATTCCAAGTAATTTTAGAAAACTTCTATTAGCCTATACATTAAGAAATTATGTCTATAAAGGGACCATGGAATCTTCATATTATGTACAAACATGAAAAAAATAATAAAACTGGACATAAAAGGTTTTGTTCCAACAGTGATTAAATATTAAATAAACCACATCACCACTTATTGAATAAGTGGTCCACTTATTACATAGTTACAATGAAAGAGCAAACACTTGGCTTTAAGCATGAACATGCGTTCAAAATAGTGCACTGCACCAGTATATACTGTATGCTACATGCTACTCCTCATGGTTGTATACAGTATAGTATCCAGTGTGCAACAGGTCATGTTGCTTTATGCAGTGCAGTACATCACAAACATAGCACTCGCTACATACTGCAATGTTAGGTTGGAATTTTACATAAGCTGGATATCTTTGGTGTACTAAAGAAATTCATGTGGGCCAGGTACTGCATACTGCTTACTACAAGGCACAATCAGTACATGAGCAGTTTGTACTAGGCTATATCTCACCCAGCCACAGGTTTCAGCAGTCACTGTACTATTGACAGAATAAAATGAAAATTTCTAACATAATAATCAAACATGGTGATTAAAGAGAACATCATTAATAAGATGTATATACATAGGACATTGAAAAGTATACATAAGACAGCAAAGCCCCTGAGACTTTTTTTGGAAAATATCAGAACTTTTCTAAGCAGCAGAGGCCTGTGAACCCTTTGAACCATAAGCCACAAAGAGGCCAGTGTATAAACAGGTATTTGATAAGCACCTAGGGAGGTGCTGGGTACCAGAGATGCAGCTTGCCCTTTTTAATGAGCAGATAAGAAAAAGACAAATAGACCTTTTTTAATGGGTCAAATTTAATTGGGTCCAAAAAAGTGATAAATCTTTGGTTTAATGCTGGGCAAAACAGGCTATGACACAGCAAAAGAGAGAGAGGGGATTACCTCATCTCTGAAAGGTGTATAAAAACATGGAACCATGTACATTGTATTCACATTTGGGTTCAAAACCTAATGCCCAGGCTGAATGCACTTTGCCTGTAATAATAATTTAAGCCTTTTTACTCCAGCTGAACTCAGCATCGGAAGTCTTCTTTGAAAACTTGAGATAGAATACTTGCTAGACGTAAGTGATATATATGTAAGACTTATAGGTAAAGTAATTTGTTGAACACACATAGTCTGGTGTGAGTGATTGGTGTCACTTTACGACACAACACTATCTTGGGCGGTACCTCATCTGCTCCAATATGCAAGGTAGTGCTTTTAGGGTGGAGCTCCATGACTTGGTGCAACATCTCCAGGACTAGAGCGACCCCTTGCTTGCTGTGTGGATTCAAAGTCCCCAAACAGTGGTTGACCTCTCGCAGCTTCCTAAAGGTGCTGTGTTTCAGGACAAACTGGAAGAAAAATTAAAAGACAGTCTTCATTCTTCAAACGACAGTCTCACCAAACTGCACATCACATGCGCAATGAATGCAATCAGGAATGTGACATATTATACCTCCAGTATGTAATGTTAATTATCTTACTCACTTCAAAGTGTCCAAATGTCTGCACGAGAGGAATGATCTCCAACCCTCTGGAATGGGCAATTTCTTGAATGGAAATGATGTCTTCACGGCTGTATGAAGAACCATTACAAGAACTTCAGACAAACTTTCATTATTATTTTATGACATTATTTTACTCAATGTTCATGATAGCAATTTTGTGACACATGGCTCATCTATTCACCTGTAAGGCGGATGAGCTTTTGACTGCAGAATCTTCAGCTCTCCCTCATAGGGAAACATGTCCTCATACTCAACGAGTATGCCAGTGGCACCAAGATCAGCAAAAAGATGTATCAACTGAGGAGAGATGGTCATGGTAAAACCCACAGTGCTTTACTAGGACGAAAAAGGAGGAGGAATAACAGGAAATTAAAAGTGGTTGTACCTCATGTAAATAGCTGATTTTGGGAGGAGCCCCCTTTAAATCCAAATGGACCAATTTCTTGCCTCTTGACAATGGACAAAGGTCCATAGCAGATCCTGGCATGCTGTCTGCAACAAACCGGCTGAAGTTGTCCCTAAAAGCTGGAAATAATAAAAAATAATGTTCTGCATTAATTCAGATCCATCCAGGGTATCTTAAACATGTCATTAGCTACTTGTAAGAATTCGAGGCTCGTCTTGCAACTCATTTACTCTCATGCACACTAGTCCTTTTACCGTTTTGGGGGGTGGTCGCTGCTGGTCCGTATAGATTATCCGTATGTGGCTCCAACAAAATCACCAACAAAATGCCTTACCTTGTCATTCTCACACAAATAGATAGATATATTTGTACATACACTAACCTACCGGTTTTGCGGCGTTGTGTCTGTGTGACAGATGACGTACAACACGGAACCTTCGCAGAACCGAGGCTGTCGTCTAATATGTGCGCTCGTCTACTAACTAGAGCGCTTGTTTAGTGCGTATAAGAAACCTTTGACTAGCATAGCAATTCTGCGCACTAGTCAAGCGTTCTTATTAGAGCACAAGTGCGCTTCTGGGTCGGAGAGATGTCTGCATTCCGATAAGCAAGATTACTAGTTAGGGAACAAGTGGGCAAATCATTCGCAGCCCGGATGTGGACGTGGCACAAAGTTACTGTGGATCCGGTGCGAATGTCACTGCTGTAGCGGAGACACCGAGGAGGTGGAAGAGGGATTAACGACGGCTAACGGCGAGACCGCTTCGGGAAGACGACGTTTGTGCCCTTCTCTTTGTAGAAGAACCGCTGCCGCCTTTGTCAATCGACTGGAAAACAGGAACAGTTGTCCTGCTGGCGTTTTCATTTATGTATCTGTCTGTTTTGGAGGTAGGTGTTCAGTTAATTTGGAGCTAACAGACTCGCTATGCTGTGTTAGCTTTGGTGCTGTGTTATGTTGGGATTGGTTGCTATTCTGATTGCTAACGGGCGAACGTTGATGATCGCCGGGTAGTTTCGTCATTAACTGGCATAATTTGGTTCCTGTTCTGTGGCATGTCAAATGTTAGTTAGCAGGACAGCTAATTTTCTAAGATTTGTTGGACTTGGTAGCTAACTCAGCCTGATTAGCGCGAGAATTTATCTTGTTAGTTAACGTTAGCTAGATAGCAACACAGTGAGTTGTGAGTTAAGCTAGCTGTATACATTTGGTGTTACGGCCCAATAATATTCGTGCCCGGCTTCGATCATTTAACTTGTCGTTGTAGTTAATGGTTTAGTTTACGTTATAGTCCGTGTTTACTTGTATGTCAGTGTTGGTTCGCCATCTAGTTTTAGGAAACTGTGTTAGTTAGCTAGCTTGCCAAGTTGTTGTAGAAGACACGGCGTTAGCGTCGCTAGCTAGCTAGCTAGCTAGCTGGCTAAGTTCCTACATTGGAAGCGTAATTGGCTAACAGCACCCTGCAGTGACCCAGCTAGAGATGGGTAGGTTGGCTACAAGCTAACGCATCTACTCTTGTTGGATAAGATAGCTAACTAAGTTATACGTCTGCTATTAACCTCAACGTGTATTTGGTAACATGTATTGAGTGTAAACGGTGTGTATTGTACAATAAACTTTAACCTGTCGTTACTGCTGAACAAGAAAGGCGGCTAGCTGTTCTGCTCTACGGCCTTTCCGCGATACTTGTTCTTATTAGCCGCAGACAAGCGAAATTCATTAAACTGTTGGGACATTTGTCCGGCCTGCGTAAGTCTGTTAACCCGCTGATACTGTCACCAAAGCGTTACACACGCGGGTAGCTGTAAGTTATACCGTTGCGGTGTCGGTTTCATTCAATTATTCAAAAGTCTATGTTGTGCTAGTGCTGATATTACATGCTATGAAACTCCCCAATATTAGCGAGGACGGTACTGCGCTTGTTCATTTTGTTGGTACTTCCCAGTTCACAAAGCATTTAAGATTTCTGACGCAAGAGATTTAATCTTTTTATAACCTCCACAAAATCCACCTATGCACTTTGTAGCAATTGTCGCACTGAACCTACAAGGCCTCTGTGTACGGGGCTGATGTCAGTCCCTTATACGGTCATTTTCTTTCCAAAACTATATGCTGATTAATAGGATCATTAAGAGTTCTCATTTAGTGTGAAAATATCGGAACTGTGTGGGAAATGCTTAAGACCAAATGGCATTGCATTTTATTCTAGCACACGAGTTGGTTCGTCGGCTGGAGCTAGTAGTCTACAGGTTTTATCTCAGATTGCCTGTGGAGCGTAGTCTGAAGCTTTAAGAGTCAAATTATACTAACTGTACACAACTACATTTAGCTTCCCTGTCTGTGTACATTTAGGCCCAATGTGTAGTCTTCAACTTCTGTTTCATACTTTCATTCACTATTTGGTTGGTTGAAGTGTTTTTACACCTACAGTTACATACCAATCTTTTATTTTAGCGACATGTGAATCATTTTGTCTTGGGAATGTATGATGATAATAATCAGGTATATAATAATCAGACTTCTAAAAAAAAATATTGGCATCAGAGAAATGTTTAGATTTGACCAGTACTTAAAATTGGTATTTGCTGTATTTATTGTACTGGACTTTTACACCAAGATCTGAGCTTTTTGTTAATTTTACTGCATTTGTAACTCTGTAGAAATAAATATTATATTTCTCTGTAATGCTAATACTGGTAGAGCTAATACCAATTTCTCTATCTTATAAATGTTTATGTATCGAATTTGGCATCGGCGGATGTATGCATGAAGAAGATCAGATATACGCATCGGTCCATAAGTGCTTCCCTACTTTAGTCTATGTCCAAACGAAATGAGGGTATTGCACCTGTATATCCTGCATACAGGGTTTCTTTCTGGTTTGGTCTTGAGATTCAAGATTCAAGAGTTTTATTGTCATATGCACAGCAGAAACAAGCAGTTACACTGTACAATGAAATTCTTACTTTGCTGTTCCTCCATTTACCAATATAGTCTTAGAAAAAAATTAAGAAAAGTAAAAGAATATATTAAATACACTGAATAAGTATAAATACACTAAAAACAAAAAAGTAAAAAAAAGTACAGTTATGTGCAAAGTTGAAAGAAAAATTAAAGTTACATGTGCATATGTGCAAGTTCAGAGTGTGGTAGGCTGTGTCATTATTGCTTAAAAATCCATGTGGTGTTCCTCGAATAGTAATTAATATCTTTGAACCAGAATAACTTGCCTTAGTGCCACCTGCTTGGGCTATGTTAAGATATGCTGAAGCTGTCATTGATTAAATAGTTTGCATGTTCACATGTCTGAAGTTCCGCTCCGAGTGCTGATCTATTAGTCATGAGTTGAAAGATGAAAGTCAAATATAATAGGTTTACAATGTTCACACAGTAGTGCTTAACTAGTTGCGTGACCTACTTTTTTTCTTCTCAGATTTAGGGATGAACTGAAAATGAATGTTAACCAGCAACCTCACATGGCCTCTCCTTATGGGCAGCCGCAGCCTGGCTACCAGGGCCACCCCCAGTCTGTTTATGGGGGCCAGCAAGTGCCAGGGGGTTATCCAGCGCCATACGCACCATACAACGGCCCTGCATCTGCCTATCAACCAGGCCCACCTCAAGGTGATTATATGTAACTGTCAAGATCTATGCGTCTTGCCTATGGCTGAGTACCATTCAGTACAGAAATGATTACATCAGATTTCACCAGTCCTGCTCTCAGAAATGTACTTTCCTGCACAATATGTCACAATAAGATCGGTATCATCCGTACTTCTAGAACACTGAACGACTGAATGTGTCATAAAGATGGATTTAAGGCCAGAATACACTGACAGGACTAATGCAAATTCTTATGTTTGCACTTGTTTTTAGAATATTCAGAAAAAGAACTTACAAGTAAAGTGAATGTGAAAAGAACATTCTAGAGTCTTACAACAATTAAACAACAGTATGGCACATCAACCACGCGTTTGTGTTTGTTCATGTGTGCCCCATCGGTGTACTCTGGCCTTAAACAATGTATGGAGAGCCTGTGAACAACAAGAAGCGCTAACATAGATTAAAACACTGTAGTCATGCTCCTTCATAGCCTTTCAAAATATGACAGTATTTTAAAATGCTAACAAAATATCGCAGTATATAAACTTGTGTCATGATGGGTTCCAACCCCCCATGTTGGCCATCCAACTCTAATTTAGTACTCGCTGCGTATCAGTAGAAGTTAGTAGCCTTTCAAAATATGGCCTTTCAAAATATGACAGTATTTTAAAATGCTAACAAAATATCGCAGTATATAAACTTTTGTCATGATGGGTTCCCACCCCCCATGTTGGCCATCCAACTCTAATTTAGTACTCGCTGCGTATCAGTAGAAGTGGATTAGCTGGTCATGTGTGTTAGAGTTGCCTTGGAACTGAAGTCTGCAGGAAGATGAATGTGGTGACCTCTGTGAGATCAAACATAATTTTCAATTATGAGTCCCAAAAAAAGTCCTGCCGAACTCATTATTAATTATTCATAAATAATCACAGTGCCTCAGGTCTGGACTGGTTCTATGCAGTTAAATGGAGAACGCCAGTCAAGTGTGAATCATCCCCACCCATGCCCCCTGGCTCCTGTGTCCTGTTTTCTCGCATTTCCCATTTTTTCACTGCTTTCTCTCTCTTGTATTTCAGGATATTCTCCTTATGCAAGCTTTCCCTCTAAGGCTCTTGCAGCAAACTTAGTCTCTGACCTGTCCTCTTCCTCTCCTCTTGACTTAGGTAACTGGTTTAATTCTGCTTGGCAGCCTGTCCTCCTCCCTGTTCCCTGTGGTTCATAGTGACTGTAGAGTGCAGGACAGCTGGGCTATGCCTCACCTGCAGGCTCCCAGAGACAGCAGGATCCTGTCATAGCCCAGTGTCCTTGTACTGTGGCAGACACCGTCACTCAGTCATACACAGTGTCACTCACATCTTCAGATGAATGGCATTTTCTTTTCTTCTTCCAAAACAATGCCTGGCAAAGTCAGGGACAATGGGCCTCAGTGTCTTCCTAAGTTTTTGTTACATTTGTTCTCAAGAAAAGTCCCAAGAAAAGGTCTATGTCAGATTCATGATGTGTTCTTAAACTGCAGAATTGTTCACACTTTTGTGCTCTTGCATATGTTTAGATTTTTTTTTTCTTACTTAAGAATCCCAAATAAGAAAGCATTGGTAAATGTAAAAATCTTCATGAAAACTGTGTGAGTTTTAAGAAGAAATTTCCTCTTAAGAATGGTTGGTGAATGAGGCCCATTGTCTTGAGGTCTTGTAATCAGGTTTTTCTTGTGCAGATTTGAGTTGAAAAATGTTTAGATTTTTTATATTTGTTTTTTAGTTATATCGCTTGATTATAGTGCCAGCGTGGAATATTTAGCTCTATGCTGAGAATGAAGCGTGTGCCATTTGCTGTGATAAGATGTGTGTATAATGACTAGGCAGTCAGCATGTTGTCAGAAGATTTAATGTTTAAGTTCTAAATCATAACCACTCTTAATCTGCAGGTATGAGAGGACCCCCCACCTCTGGGGCACCCCCAGTGCCTGCTGCTCAGGCATATTCACAGTTTGGACAGGGTGACATACAAAACGGACCACCACCTATGGGTGCCCCACCACAGAGGTCAGTGTTTAGTGCAGTTCTACTGACAGCTTACTTTTTCAAACTTGGTCTCCCTGGTAAGGCACATTCATACAGAGGTGTAATGTCTTTATTCAGCAGAAATCTATCCTTCCTAAATCAGGGATATAAAATTCTAGCATTTTTATGAGCACATTGGCTGCTAGATATTATTCTATGCTAGAATAATCAGCTCTATTCACTGTTAGCTTGAAATTGTAGATGTGCAAAAAAGGTGCCACAATATTAAATTATAGTTTATGGATTGTGGTAAAAAATGACTTTTTTTATTTGAAATTTTCTGAAATTTCTGCTCTTGGATGCATTTTGGACAATACTTCCTTTTGCACAATATAGCACAGTATGTATCAGTTATGAGCACTGAAAAAAGCCACATTTACACTGCATCAAAGTAAGACTTTTACAGAGTTGTTACTGTTGTCATGGTTGCAGCTCTTAATATGCATGAGCAAAATCTGCTTCATCTGTTATCTATTATCTTTGTGTCATCTTTTCTTAGAAACGATAAACAATGAGAACGAAAACAGTTTTTTGTGCTACAATATAAGACGGTCAGGACTTTTTAGTGTTTTTAAAGCACCTGAGAGACACACACACACAGAAAATTGCCTTTATTATCTGCTCTTTACCCGAAACTTGCACTTTGTGGGCTAAATGAATGCAGTAGGATATGAAACACATGTGCTGGTAGGTAGGCTGGACAGACCAGCAGATGCATTCACACGCAGCACATGTACTTGACTGGCTCACATTGTTTGTCGTAAAATCATCACACCAATCAACCAAAATAAAAGTAAATTGGTCTTTTGCCGTTTGCTTGTTAGGAGTGAATATCAGTTATGATCTTCAGTTCCAGTCATGCACCTCGACAATGCAAAAAGACGTGCTTTTATTAATTTACTACTTAGGCAGTAAAGTTTGTTACATTTGTTTGATGTTAAGTTTTTTTATTAAAGTTGATTAAAACTGAGCTGGTTGTAAATCTTTGCTGTGAGATGTTTTCTTTTGGTATCATGCAAGTTTTGACTACATGTTAAATACAACTTATGCTAGGTACCTTTAGATAACTTTTTGTTGTTCTATTTAGGTTGTACATAAAAACCTCTATTATAAATTCTCTATTAATCAGTATAAGATAAATATGCATGTGTAATGAGATCCGAACAGATCTAAAATGTGCTTTGAGAATATTGAAATGTCATGCAAATTGTAATTCTTTTGTGTCAAGCCTATAGAGCGAGTCGGAAAGTTTGTCGCCCAGCTTTGAGATGAGCTGCAGCCAAAACCTCAGTAGAAAAGTTTATAATTTCCCAACACTTACTTTTAGCTGCACATTAAAGTCTAATGCATTTGTGCTGGTTAAAGTGTGGTGTCAAGTTTTTTTCACATTTACAAGATCAGTTTTTTCCCCTTCTTTTTTGTGCAATTTGAGTCTGTTGAATTAATTTATTTGTTATTTTTTTTTGCTTAAATTTAAGTGTTTTTGTCCTTATAATACATACCTGTTGTAGATTCTATGTGGAGACATTTTATTTCTAAGTTTCTAACCATTATTAGAAATCTGTTGCGGATTTGCGTTGGTCTACATTTGTCAATGTTGTCTGTTAATGTACATCATTTTCAAATTGAAGACAAATAGAAATTTGATCTCAGTGGCAGCATGAATAGAAATTTGATTCCAGTTCGAGAGGCATCATAACAAACACTAGATATCCATGCAGATTCATTCTTGTAGCGCGTTAAGGCTCATGTTGCATGCTATACAGTTTCTAAACCATGATGTGTCGCCCCCGCTTCCACTGTGTAGACCTCCAGTGTCTCAGCCATACAGTCAAGGAGCGATGAACCTCTCTGGTCCTCAACCTCCATACAACCAGCAATTTGGAGCAGCACTAAACAGTATGCAGCAGATGACTAATCAAATGGCTAGCATGCAGGTTGGGTCTACTGTACCTTCTCCTGCTGGCCCAGGCTATGGTAAATAATTTTCGTCTGACTAGTAAGATATAGAGGATTGTTCGAGCAAAGCGACATTTTCTCTCATCCTATAAAGAACCATCATTCATTGTTTGTTTTGTTTGTTTGTTTTTGTTTTTAAGCTCCTCCCACAGTCTCCCAGCCTTCTGCCTCTGCTGCTTATACACCTTCAGCCCCTTCTTCTTTTGCCCCCACATCTACTGTTCCCACACAGCCCCCGTCAACTGAGGGAGTACCTCATACACTCTCTCAGCCCTACTATGGGGCTCCTCCTCAGCAGCCTTTCCCAACTGCAGCCCCACCTTTCTCTGCACCTGGTCCCACCCAGCCTCCTGGTCCGCCTCTTGCCTCTCAACAGTCTTTCCCTCAAGCTCCTCCTACTTCGCAGCCTCCGTTTTCTTCGGCTCCGCCGCAAGTTCCTACTGCGTCATATGGAGGCCCACCTCCCCCTGTGCAGGCGTCTCATCCTAGGGCAGCACCTCCCACTTCCCAGCCTTCTGGATTCCCTGGAGGACCCCCACCCACCTCTACCCCAACTCAGTATACAGGACCACCCATGCAACAGCCTCCAGTGTCCCAGCCCTCCTCTTTCCATTCAGGACCTCCTCCTCCACCGACTAGTGCTGCTGGATTTCCACCCCAAGGAGGCGCTCCTCCCAGGCCTCCACACCCAGGTATGCAGGGTCCCCCTCTGGCCTCTCAGGGGCCTCCGATGTCCCAAGCAAACCATGTAGCTCCCCCACAGCCTGGTATGCTGCCTGGGCCCCCTGCTCCAGGTATGGCAGGACCACCACCACAGCCAGGGATGCAGGGCTATCCACCTCAGCAGAATGGTGAGTATTGTAGACATTCATGTTGTCTATCTGGAAGCCAAGGTTGAGTTTTTAAATGCTTAACATTTGCTGCTGGTCTTAGGAGTAGAAAAATGCTAAAGTGTATATTTCTTTTGTCTCCTCTTTCTGACTGGCTAACTGTCAAACACCATATGTGTCTTTTTGTTGTGTTAATGAATTATCTGTTCACACCAGCAGCCACCAGTCCAAACACATTGCTTAATTACACCTGTTTCTGTCAAATTTAAGGAAAGTTATGTAACTACACTAGTGATAGTCAAAAAAGGGGTTCTAAAATGCTCAGACAAAAGGTCAAAACTGGTAGCCGAAAGAGAAAAATGGCAAAAAACTTAAATAGACTTACAATGATATGTCAAAATCTAAGATTTTACAAATAGTTTCAATGGTACTGTAAATGAGAAACAGTAGCTAGAAATGCTCTTTGTTCCCTTTGCTTTCGTGACCCATCAGCGCACATACGTTCAAACAGTTTGAGCACAGCACAGTGAAAATGTCGGCCGTGTGGAACTGTTTGACGGTTGCTATGAGGGACCTTACATGATTGGTGATTTGTAATCACTGTTCATGCCGAATATCAAGAGAAAGTACCCTACCTAGGAACTTCTCTACTGCAAGTTTGACACCTCTTGAAAACATGACTTTGTGGATGATATGCAGAATACAGCAAAACAACAGAAGTGAAAAGTAAAGTCCCTACTAGCTCGTCAATGCCATCTGTAGCCGCAGTTTATGAAATCATGAAAAAATTCAAACATTACCAAAGTGCAAAGTATAACTGAAAAATAACTGCGGTCAATGCCTTGGCTGACCATCTGTTCACTTTTGTGGAGGATGTTTATGTGGCACATACTGTAACAGTTTATTTTACAGAAACTAATTTATTGTCAGCTTTTTTTGGTTTGTTTTCATGTTACAGCCCAGTATATCCTGAATTGTGATTTTGGTGCTTTACTAGTTTTTCTTTAACATCCAAAGAAATGCATCTCACGACATCAGATTTGTTTGGAAGTTGCATGAAAAGCATCATTATAATGATACACATACATGCTTTAAGGTTTTTATGGTTTCAAATGCTTAAAAATAATTTACGATGCCATAATAAACCATAATCATAAGCCTGACCTGTTTAGAGTTTGTTGTAAATATTTCTCTCCTCTTTGTGGTAGTGAAGTATGTGTATGTTTTTTGTGGGACAGGTGCTTTTGGGCAGGTGAGGGGTCCACAGCCTGGCTATGCTGGACCATATCCTGGGCAGCAGAGCTATGGAGCTGCACCTCCTGCACAAGCTCCTGCTCCTCCTGCACCGAAGAGACTTGACCCCGACTCCATCCCTAGCCCGGTACATACAGATTACATCTTCTGATTACAGTTTTTTTACGCATCTTTTTTAACACTTTTGCACATCCATTGTCTTTTTAGACTTTGATTTACTTTTACTTCACTTTTCTATTCTCTTCTTATTTATACATATATAGTCCAAATCAGTTATATAAATACCTGTGTTAATGAGTGTAATCAGTTAAAATATGCAGTGGTTTGTGTAAGCTAGGCTATTCTCTGGAGTCTCCTGTGTCTGATATGCATGCACCATGGCGGGTTAACATAGATAGCATATGAAGATTCGGTGTCTGTCAAGGCTACAAAAAGCTATGCTTGAATATTGCATGTGTTGCTGGCAATATCTGCATCCATGTTCACTGGTATTGCTAAACAATGTTATTAATCATCGTAATTCTAAACTTGAAAGCAGAGGTACTGTAACTGTGGTTACACTTCTGTTTATCGTCTTTTTTTCTCTGCTCTTTTTCTGTTTTTGTTTTGTTTTGGCTTTTCTTTTCTCTCTTTAATTTGCTGGACTAAATTGTTAAAATATAAAGCAAGCCTCTGACATACCGCCTGTGCAGAAAACAAGACATAGAATAGACCCAGACGCTATTCCCAGCCCAGTAAGTGCCCTGTGTCTCTCTGCATTTCTCTCTTGTTGCACTAACTCTAATCACTTTCCTCAGTACTCATTCCTGTCCCAGCTCAACTGTCTATAATACCAATGACTCTGATTAGATCTCTTGGATTGTGTTTTCTCACATGATGTTTAAATAGATAGTTAAATCATTGTAGATATTGTCCTATATTATGATTTGAGCTCAAAGATGAGCATAGAATTTCGAATTACTCCATGATTGGCAGCCACTTTTGAGCTAGCTCAGTTTTTATCCAGACAGTGCAAGCAAGTGTGTAGATGCCACTTTAGGGCAAGCACATTCATCTAACTGCCTACAGGATTGTTGAGACCAGTTGAATTTCAAGCATGAGGGGCGTTTTTCCACTGCACAAAGTACCTGAACCTTTGGCACCCAGAAAACAGGAACTGTGCATTGGCTGTTGGTCCAGTACCAAAGGTTCCAGTTTTATGTTTTTTTTTTTTGATACCTTTTTAAGATTGGCACCAATCTAATGGCACTAGAGGGTGTTCTCCTTTATCCTTGCGTACACTTGCATTTGAGAGCAATGACAATTTAGCAAATTCTTTACTCTTCCAGGTGAAGATAAAGTCTCCAAGCACTATTACATCAGCACTAAGTGCATCAAAATGAAAACTAGAATGGTGTGGTGATGTATCAAATGCTATTTTAAGAATTGTTGCTTTGTTAAAAGTTTGCTAAGCAGGTAGTGATTATGCTAACACTATTAGCATTTATGCTCCTCCACAGAATGTTTTTGTTAATCTTTTCTAACATGACAGACAAATAAGCTTTGTTTAATTCTACCCATGATTTTGTATTATAGACACTCATGTGAGTAGAAAATTGCTCTATTATTTCAGCAATAAGCATTCAACTAAGGGTGTTAGGTAGTAAACTAGCTAACTAGTTCACAGGGTATCTAATGCATCAGTTCCTGCTCTCAAGAGAGAAAAAATTAGAAGTTTGCTTGACTTTGTTCTTGACTTGTTCAAGTATGTAAATGTAGACATTTGAGTGTGTCCATGTAGAACAGTGCAGTATAACATTTTCGTGTCAGCCAAGTTAAGCTGACTAGCTGATCAGCCAAATTAGATTGTTTAGAGTGGCATAAAATGAACAAAAACCAGTAATTAATTGCGGTTATTATAACAGGTCCAGTTGTCTCTCATGCAGGTGGAAAAAGAACTAGAACTAGAAACATTGGTCTCATTCATTCCTGCCAGGGTCACTCCTAGTATTTCATGTGTAGTGGGAAAACACCCTATGAATACTGTATATCGTCTTAATGGTATCTGTCACATGTAGCAGGTCATTGGTACCCTCTCAGTCTTGCCCTTTCCTCTCTCCTTGCATGCTAGCTAGTTTCAGCCTTTACATGACTTACCCTCTAGCAAAGTGAATGAAAGACGTGGTGGTTTACATTTCTTTTTTGGCATGGTCCCACATCTAAACACTGATTTAATCCTTCAGTGTAATGTAGATGTGATTCTGTTATGTTCTTTGGGAAGGTGTGTGGGTGTGTGTGGGTGTGTGTGTGTTAATGTGAATTTTGGATTAGAGACTTACTGTTTCATTGCATTTGTTCTCTCAGATTCAGGTGATTGAGGATGACAAAGCAAACAAGGGCAGTGAGCCTTTTGTTACAGGGGTCAGAGGTCAAGCCCCACCCCTTGTCACAACTAACTTTCATGTTAAAGATCAAGGTAAGAGATCTAATTAGACCTCTTATACCTTCATCAGTTTTTCATAGAGCAGGTCATTGCACCGTGATCCTTTGTATTACTCCCTGAAAAGGCACCACAGTAGAACAGTGAGACCATGTGTCTGTAGGGTGGTATTCAACCCAGCTGTCACCTTTTGAATTAAATAAAGATAAATTAAGCTTGATTTAACATGTAATCAACATTTTTTGTAAGCTCTGTCTCGTTTACATGTTAAGGGGTGTATTTTCTTTATGTTCACAGGGAATGCCAGTCCACGTTTTATCCGCTGTACAGCCTATAACATGCCCTGCACCTCGGACATGGCCAAACAGTCCCAGGTGCCCTTGGCTGCAGTGATCAAACCATTGGCTACTCTGCCTCCAGATGAAGTAAGACACTACATTATTGCACACAGTCTGAAATACGATTGTATTCTCCCACATACTTTAAATTACTTTAAACAGGGTTCAGTAAGCGTGGTTCGGTAAGTATAGTAAGTTATAGAATATTTTACTACCAAATACAAGTTGAGCGCATTATTAAGAACTTGATTGAGAAGTAGCTAGGCTAACAAATGTTACCTAGAACTAAAAACAATAAAAAAAAAAATACATTTCTCTGTTTTTAACAAGTCACTTGACAAACTAACGTGTTGACATCATCCACTGAGGAGGAAAAACTAGTATGAAAACCCATAAGTTTTGATGAGTAACCTCCATCTACTTCTGCACCAGTTAGTTCTAGTGTTAGTGTCATCTGAACAGGCAACCTCCATTACTTAAGCATTATCAGACACAAATCTACCAGCTTAACCTACTGTCCAAACCACTGAGCAACGTTCAAAGCTGATTTAAAATACTTGATATACGAAAGCTTATGACCACCTCACAGCAACTGAATTTTGTATTACAGTGCCAAGGCACTAAAAATTGTTGTACTGTTAATAGAATAATCTAATCTGTATTATTCTGGTATTGCATAGACCATGAGCGTATTGATCAAATAAGAACTTGGTTATAGTTTAATTGAGGTGTTAAGTTATTTCTTAACTACGGCTGGGCTGATCAGCTAGCTGAACAGCAGCTCCGTTAATATCTGAGCCTTTACGTTAAAGGTTACTAATGTTGTATTATACAATGTGAAACTGCAGTATAAAGAAGTAAATATGTCACTCAAATGTCTAACATGCTTCAAATGTCCATGTTTTAGTTAGATCAGCTTTAAGCAGCATTAACACCAGGCTGAATCTCAAATGGCCCCATTGATCATATATAGTGAGCTAAGTTGTGAAATTCTGGCTTCTACATCCAAATAGGGCAGTATATGTCCAGTATGGGGCTCTGTTTGTCCAGTATGGAATTGCGCACATGTCTGAATTCCACATGGGACTTTGCGTTGGGCCTAACAACACCCATGATAACATCACTGTAAAGCACGGCCTGTCGGGGCTTATTGCTTTATTGACATGTACACTGACTAAAGCAGTACTGATGTCTTCTATGCAGTTGACAATAGCTAGTTTATTAACTCTTACCAATATCCAAACTCAAATTATTCACACATCTATTGTAATCAGATAAGGTGTTTTTGCTACTCGGTAATCCACTTCCAAAGCTTCGTGAACACTGAGAAAACGAATCCTCTCCCAATTTTTTTCCTTCCCAGAATCCCCCATATATAGTGGACCATGGGGAAAGTGGCCCTATTCGCTGTAATCGCTGTAAGGCCTACATGTGTCCCTACATGCAGTTCATTGAGGGCGGCCGGCGCTTCCAGTGTGGCTTCTGCAGCTGCGTCACAGAGGGTGAGTGTGCCAGTTTTTTGTGGCCTATTAGTCATCAGGTGTTGTAATAGTATGTTCATTTCCTGAGCATGAACTTTGTCCCACAGTGCTGTGTGAACGGAGCTTTGAAGGACTTTTTTGACTGAGATTTAGGTGTGACCCATCATGATTGCCCGAAAGGGGTAGATGAGGTGTGTGCTCTTTTTATTGTATATGATCTCGGTTGTAATTATTGAACTGTTTCTTGTCACAGTGCCTCCCCATTACTTCCAGCATCTGGACCACACAGGGAAGCGCGTAGACTGCTATGACCGGCCGGAACTCTCCCTGGGCAGCTATGAGTTCCTAGCCACAGTGGACTACTGTAAGGTGTGCATTTCCAATCATTTTTCAGGCCTCAAGAATTTGGGTATGATCACAAAACAGACCCAGTTGAGTAGGTGTGAAAGTCTTGTTTGTTTGTGTTAATTTGTTACTACCTTGTTATTTGTTCATAGAACAATAAGATTCCTCAGCCCCCTGCCTTCATCTTCTTGATTGATGTGTCCTACAATGCTGTGAAAAATGGCATGGTGAGAATTGTGTGCCAGGAGCTCAAGACCTTGTTGGACTATTTGCCCAGGTACAGCCTAATAGCAGTTAGTGTAAAATTCTGATGTTCTTTTTTAGATTGATAGCCAGTATTTTGAACAATTAGATTAGAAAGCAGAACCAGCACTTTTATTCACACGCTTCAGTATCAGATATATTGTGTGGTGTGTTTCTTTAGGGAGAACCCTGATGTGCAGTCCAATATACGAGTCGGGTTTGCAACCTACAACAAGGTACTGCACTTCTATAACGTGAAGGCCTCTTTGGCCCAGCCTCAGATGATGGTGGTCTCAGATGTGGCAGACATGTTTGTACCCCTACTGGATGGATTCCTTGTCAATGTCTCAGAGTCCAGGGTTGTGATTGAGAGGTAGGTTTGGCCTTATTTTTTGAGGGGGGTTATTGAAGTATAATTATTATTTTTCACTGATAAACATCTCTTTGTCTGTTCTCAGTTTGCTGGACCAGATACCCGACATGTTTGCAGACACACGAGAGACAGAGACAGTGTTTGGCCCTGTTATCCAAGCAGGACTGGAAGCTCTCAAGGTATTTACAGCTGTCTCTACATAGCTTTAAAACATCAGTTGTTTAGTCTGATAGGTTGTTCACATTAATCACATATTACAGGGCAGCAGAAAGGTTGCTGTGTTTTTTATAATATGAATGTGAATGGTATAAGATAGCTGGTCTGTTTATCTCAGGCTGCAGACTGTGCTGGGAAGCTGTTTGTCTTCCACTCCTCTCTGCCCATTGCTGAGGCTCCAGGCAAGCTGAAGAACAGAGAGGACAAAAAACTAGTGGGCACAGACAAAGAAAAAGTAAGATTCTCTTAGACTTGCTACAGTCTAAAATGAAATGGGCACACAATATGAACTTAGCATTATTGGATTCTTTTTAGTATATATATATATTTAATAATTGATGCCTTAAAAGTGTTTTAAATCAATTTAATTTAAATTTCACCCCTCACTGCTGTTTTCCTCAGTCATTATTCCAGCCCCAGGTGAGTTTCTACGCTAATTTGGCAAAGGAGTGTGTGGCGCAGGGCTGCTGTGTGGATCTCTTCTTGTTCCCTAATCAGTACGTGGACGTGGCAACGTTAGGGGTGGTCCCCACGTCAACAGGCGGCTCTGTCTACAAATACACCTATTTCCAGGTGAGTGTCCAACTCTAGATTCATGAATGGTTTCATTATGTAGGTCTAAAGCCCACAAGTACTATACCTTAGTCTTCATGTCTGGAGAGTTAAATATCCATGAAATAACTAATGAATGGGATAATAAAACGCTTAATATTTTCATTTGTCATTTGTGATACTTTGATGTGCATCAGGCCCAGTCTGACCAGGAGCGGTTCCTAAATGACTTGAGGAAAGACATACAGAAGCAGGTGGGCTTTGACGCAGTGATGAGAGTCCGCACCAGCACTGGTGAGTGTACATGCGCTTTTCAGTACGTTTGTGCTATAACTGAAATGCACAGTGCCTGGTGGCCACTCGCCAATGCACAGAAAGGGTTTTAAGTTTGGAGCAGACTTTGAGACCGGATTTTGGATTATGCTCTGTCAGGTATCCGGGCCACAGACTTTTTTGGTTCGTTCTACATGAGCAACACCACTGATGTGGAGCTGGCAGGCCTAGACTGTGACAAGACTATCACAGTGGAGTTCCGACATGATGACAAACTCAGTGAGGAGACAGGTGCACTCATGCAGGTTTGTATCGAAGGAAAGTGGTCTTAGCAGCTAACTTGAATCACTTTTTTTCCCCCTTTGCTGACCATTGTTTGTGCTATGTATGTCTGCAGTGTGCTGTACTATACACAAGCTGTAGTGGTCAGCGGCGGCTACGCATCCACAACATGGCAGTTAACTGTTGCGCCCAGCTGGCTGACCTTTACAGGAACTGCGAGACAGATACTATCATAAACTTCTTCGCCAAGTACGGTAAGTGAGACAATGTCATGTCATCCCAAATACCTTGTCTGGTCTACTCCTTAAAGAACTTTCTGCTACTCTGCTATTTATTGATATTTTAATTGCAGGAACATCCTACATTATTGATAAATTGTTTTTGTGTTTATAGCATATCGCAGTGTACTGAATAACCCTACCAAGAACGTGCGGGACAGTCTGGTGAACCAATGCGCCCAAATCCTGGCATGCTACCGCAAGAACTGTGCCAGCCCATCTTCTGCTGGACAGGTGAATTCAGCTGTACTCCATGCTGTTGCTACTAATAGTGCCATTTTTATTTTATTTCAACTGATTAATTGTGACTAGCACACGAGCAAAACGGACTTCAAATAAACATTTTATTTTCTAATCATCTCACGTCTGGGTGTGTGCAGCTGATCCTCCCGGAGTGTATGAAGCTGCTCCCTGTTTATCTGAACTGTGTGCTGAAGAGTGATGTTCTGCACCCTGGAGCTGACGTCTCCCTGGATGATCGTGCCTACCTGAGACAGCTGGTCAGCGCCATGGATGTGGCAGAGAGCCATGTGTTCTTTTACCCACGACTGCTTCCAGTGGTGAGACACGTGCACGCACAAAATGAGCTTCTGGTCAACAAGTGTTGATTTACTGTTCTCTGCCTATTGTCATTATACTATTTTGAACATGCTTACAGAAATGATAGCAACTTAGTTTAACTTGACCACATTATTGAGCGATTTATGATCTACACCATCATTTTTGACAGGCTTTTTGATTTAGAATGAATTTTTTGTGGATGCTGGCATATTAATGTTCCACACTTACATGCTCAAATACATAAATCGGTAATGCATTTATACTAGAGCTAACATTAAAATACTTAATTGTAATTAATCATTTGATTTTGTGTAGTTAAAGCATTTTAGAAAATAAAAGCTATTCAAATGTATCTATTTATCTGGTTAGTAAGCATTTAGTTGTTAAGACAAACACCAATATTACAATAAAAACAAGACACATTAATAGTAGTGATTTTACAGTTGTCAGTGGTTTCTTATGACCATTTCCAAACCTCCCCTCATGGCAGCTCAGTGTTTATTGTAGTTATCATCCAACACCTGCTATGGTTAAATAGTAAAACTGATCGCTTGGCTAACTGTGGCTAACAGTAGCTTTACACTGAGCTTTATTATTATTATTATTATTTTGCTACTAGTTGATTTATCCAAAGGTCTCCTGCAAGCCCTGTCCAGCATAGTCATCTGAAGGTGCTGAGAGTATTGATTTAAAACCCATTGAAAAGTTGTATTTGACTGAGAAATCTACAATTGCAGATTCTATCATAGTAACATAAAGCATGCAAGCAGCTGGGCTTCAGCCTGCACTACTGTGGATGGTTTGAAGGGTCAAGCCAGAGAAATGCCTTAAATTAGTCAGCTTGTAATGCATCGTGTTAAAAATGTAACGTTGACAGCACTAATATAAACATTTAAACATGATTCGTAAATCATTTAATGATGATTACAGATACATATATCAATGTGGGCATCCATCTTCTCTCTCTGTGTAGCACAAGCTGGATGTGGAGAGTGACACTCTTCCAGTGGCCATTCGGGACTCCGAGGAGAGACTGTCTAAAGGAGGAATATACCTGCTGGAGACAGGGCTCAACCTTTTCCTCTGGGTGGGGGCCAATGCACAGCAGGAGCTGCTCCAGAACATATTTGGCACTCCTGCCTTCAGCCAGATAGATTCCAACGTGGTACGACATATAGTAACCTAATATACACCAACCGACTACTTCATTACGTATACCTCCTTGTTTCTACACTCTTTATCCATTTTATCAGCTCCACTTACCAAACAGGAGCACTTTGTAGTTCTACAATTACAGACTGTAGTCCTTCTGTTTCTCTGCATTGTTAGCCCCTTTTCGCCCTGTACTTTAATGGTCAGGACCACCACAGGATAAGTTTTATTTGGGTGGTGGATCATTCTCAGCAATGCAGTGACACTGGCGTGATGGTGGCTTGTTGGTGTGTGTTGTGCTGTGGATCAGGCTCACCAAGCCAAAACTGTCCTGACCTGTGGGCAGCGTCCTTTGACCACTAAAGAGACTAGTGGATGACTAACACAAATGTACAGCAACAAGTGAGCTCTTGTCTCTGACTTTACATCTGCAAGGTGGACCAACAAGGTAGGTGTCTAATAGAGCTGTCCAGCGCAACACACACCAACACCACATCAGTATCACTGCAGAGCTAAGAATGAGCCACCACCTAAATAATACCTGCTCTGTGGTGGTGCTGTGCGAGTCTTTACCATTAAAGAACAAGGTTAATGGGGGCTAACAAAGTAGGCAGTGAAGCAAACTTTGTAGCTGTAGAACTACAAAGCGCACCTGTATTGTAAGTGGAACTGATAGAATGGACAAGAAATATAGAACCACGGAGGTGTACTTAATGAAGTGGCTGGTTGGTGTGAATAGCTTTATTTTTGTATTTTGTGTGTGGGTATATAGTCCATCTCATACTTGGATTCTCATGTTTTACTGTTAGACATCTTTGCCGATTTTGGATAATCCTTACTCGAAGAGGCTGAGGGAGATTATTGAGTCTTTCCGTGCACAGCGCTCACGCTACATGAAGGTAAAATTTGTCAACAGCTTCCTTCTGCTTCTTATGTGCTTACTGTTATTGTGCTCTGCTTTTCAGTCTGTCACATTCGATCACATTGCCTTTTGCTTTGTGCCCCCCTCCTTTTACTTACTTATTCATTCATTTATTTATTTATTTATGTCGTTCCCTGTTATCGTCTGTGCTTCACTGGATGTCCTCTTTGTTTCAGCTGATGGTGGTGAAGCAGGAAGATAAACTGGAGCTCATCTTTAAGCACTTCCTTGTGGAGGATAAAAACAACAGTGGTGGGGCGTCTTACGTGGACTTCTTGTGTCACATGCACAAGGAGATTCGCCAGCTCCTGAGCTAGGAGAGCTCCCCCCGACACTTTTACTCAGACGCGCTTTATCCTTTTTATTTGACATAATAATAAATTAAATTCCTCCTCCCGTCATCTCTCCTCCTCTTATGTAATCTTCTCCAGGGTGAGGGGGAAAAAAGCCACCTGTTAGGGTCAGGCAAGGATGCTCTACTAGACTCTGTTAGAGGTCTGGATGGTTTTTGGTTTTGGGTAGAGGTTGCAGGTTTCGGGAGACTGTCCGTGTGTGTGTGTGTGTGTGTGTGTCTGTGTATGTGTGCATGAATGTTTGTGTGTATGAGTTACGTATGAGATGTTTCACCCCTCCTCATAGCCGATATAGGGATCAGTTTATTCAGAACAAAAAAAATAAGTGCAAAATTAACAATCAAGAGGTTGGAGCTCAAATGAGGTTCAAAAATGTGTGCTTGTGCATGTTTGCGTGTTAGGACTGTGAACAGGTTGATATTTGGGGTTGCAGGACCCTGGCACTGTACTGTGGGTGGGGTAGGGTGGGCTGGGGGAGCAGAAACTGACAGCATTAATGATTGAACCAGACATTCTTAAAACAACATAATGAGATCCTTAAGAAACCTTCCAAATAACTTATTGTTATCACTGTTTTGTTCAGTTAGTCCTTGTGTTTGTTATTCTCTTTCAACCATGGCCTTACTGATCCCATTTCTCACCCATCCTCCTGCTGTTCTGTTTTGTTACGAGTCATTGTAATCGTTATTGTTTTTAAAGTGTGTGAAAAGAAACCTTTGACTAATAGATTATATGGGAAGCTGAGTATATTTTAAGTGTGCTCTTCACTGTCCATAATACAAACATCTTAACTCTTGAGATATTACTCACTATTAAAATTCTATGCATCAGCTTAGCTGCGGATGGAGGAACTGCGTTATCTAAATTAAACAGGAACAGAAGTGATCTGTCATGGGCCTCATGTTAAGTGGGCATGCATAGCGCTGTGATATGGTGCGCGCTCTGATAATGGATGAACGATTCTCCTATTGTGGAGAGGGTATGGACCCTTTTGGATACCTCTCTGACTGGGCCGCAAGTTGTAGTTCAGATAAGCCAGCTGGACGGGAATTTATCAGTTGAGCTTTTCTAAAAAAAAGAGGATGGGAATTGTAGTCCATATGGGTAGTCCATCTTCAATGGAGGCTTCACTACTCGGACATATATTACAAGAACAGGAACAAAAATATACATTACTGTTCCTGGTGTCTGGATTTTGTTTATTATTTCTTTCCTTTCTGTTTCGATTTCTGATCCACTGTTAACCATGAATGTCCTGATCATCCTGTTTCATTTTCGATCTAATATTGTTTTCTTAATCTGTTTTGAAAGGTTATAATCCTGGGGCAGGTGCAGTCTGGTGCAGGCTTCCTCAAAGCTAAACACGAGCACTCGCCTGCCCTGCTTTTGTCTTTCTTTCTAGTGAAATCTTTGTACAATGAAAGAATATGGCAAGAGTGGAGTGAGTGATTTAGAACTGGCGATTTCTTAACCGTTTTCAAAGTGAGCGCTGTTTTCAAGCACATGCAGGATTGTGACCTGAAAAGCAATCAACACTGAATACCTTGTCATCACATTTATTACATGTACAGAATTAAAAATCACATTTTAAAAATGATGCTCAATTAGTGTGCTTTGTTGGCTGCGTTTAGCGATTTAAAAAAAAAAAGTAAAAATAATAAAAAAAAAAACTGCCCATCATATCTATGAAGGCTAGGACAGGGAGTGTTGCACCATCTCAGACTTCCTCTTTCCTTCTGTCTTTTGATGTTCCCTTTTGTTTCTTTGTATTCGTTTTTAAGTTTTCCCTTGTCTTCCATAATACTTTAAGTGCTTCTGTGCCCCGGTGAAGTGAGATTTGGAGAGGGAACTTCTAAATGATATCTGTCCCACTGTAATCTTTCCTGTGTTTGTGTTGTTCAAAGGCACATCCCAGTGAAATTCTTTAAAGATGTGAAGAACTGAGGGATCTGCCTTTAAACAGTGACTTTTATTTGTCCTTTTGCATTTCTTTTGTATTTTTTTCCAAACCTTTCTATCTGTTCCTGGTTTTGTTCACTGGAGCCTCACAATCATTCAACTGTCTGAATTCACATCTACTGTTCCATTTTTGCCATCTGACTGCAAATAAACTGATTGCTTCGTTTGTCACATAATGGCTTCTGCAGGCGAATGAGTGTATGTACCACCTCATGAATCACTTTCTGAGTTTGCTTCTTTATATTTTTCTCACTTGTACGTGCTCTTCTGATCCTTTCACTCATGGCATTGCAAAAGGAGTGTGACCCAGGAATGACCTTAAAATTGGAATATCAAATGATTAAAGTAGTTGTTTTAGAATATTACACAAATGTGTGTGTGATTTACTTACTGAAGGTCTGTTTTGGATTCTGCTGGTGAGCCACAATCTGAACACTGCTTTATTGTGTTGATAAAAGTATTGCTATTTTGAAACCAGAAGGGCTGAGGATGCATTCTGGTGTGTTTTTAGAAGTTGCAGACTAGGCTCAGGCTTTTTTAAGGCCTCTGAAGTCCCTGCACTGTGGTAGAGTGCTTTTAGTGAAGCTTTCCCCAGTGAGTCTTAAAGGTAATGCCGTTTGGTGGCTGCAGTGGGATCATTTCTCGCTCATATATCTGCACATTACACACTGCCAACATATGTATTCTGAATTCTGAATTTTTAAATTACATCATGTAGGTTATGCTTTATTTTAAGTGGAGGCTTAACGCTTACAACAGAAGTGCTCCACCTGCAACAAATAGGCCAAAACAGATGGCTAACGTTGCAAAAACGTGATTAGCTTTTTTAAACTGAGCAGTATATTTCTTTAAAAAATAGATTGATTTGAAAAGGGTGGGGGGGGTGGGGGGGCTTGGATATTTGTTTTGCTGGCAATGAATTTTAATCTGTCTTTGCAAATCCCCAGATCCAGCTTTCTTTCCGGTTGCTGTGGCCTGTTTTGTAGGTTAGCTTCTATCTTTCCTGCTGGTCAGAGCAGATGTAGTCACTAAGTATTAAAATCTAGGTGCCAGCAGGCTACATGTGGTATGATCAACTAACACAGATGCTGGATTCTGTTAACATCAGGAGCTCCTCTCTCCCTCATAACAGTGATGGAGTTCATCTCTCTCTCTCTCTCTCTCTCTCTCTCGATGCTCGTAGGGAGTGTTTGAGTAAATGAAACACCTGCCCGACTGCTCATACTCTTATTTGTTTTCCCATCTGTAACATGCTCACTTTCACGCATGCAGACACAAACATGGCTCTTTCATTCTCTGCCACTAAAGGAATACCAGGGGCTATTTGGCACAGTGGCTACATCACCATGGCAACTTACACTGCACAACTAACCTGCTCCAGGGCCAGTTCAGTTTGGGATGTTGGATCATAAACAGCTCACGGGCCAAAACCCAAGCTTCTGGCGAAGGTGAACCCTTTCTGTCCTTTTCGCGTCGTTTTTTTCTTTGTCATGTTTGTGGAAAAATATTATAATAAGCAAAAACAATCATACTACATAGATATCAAGAATATAAAGCCATCACTCAATCAAGCACCAACATGTTAGAGGCAACAGAGTTTTTGCTGTTGCTTTACTTTCTTCATATTTACATAGTATGATTCCTTTTTTCTTTGGAAAATAAGCCACTGGACTGCTTATGTTTCCCATGCCAGCTGTTTGTTGTAAACGCTGTGCTTTCATGTGCATGCGCACAAGGATTAACCTTGGCTATCCCACAATACCTAGGGTCAGGAAATATCCAGTAGGGATTTGTGATTGGCTAGGGCGAGGTACATCATGGCAGGTGAAGATGTCGATATTGGTGATTGTAGACTTGGATTATCAGAGAAAGTTGTTAAACAAACTGACCACAGTTATGTTTGGTAGGTTTTGTGAAGCTGAAAATCAGGAACCCTGTCTAAGTTGAACATGCTTTGTGAGACAGACTCCTGGGCTACCCCTGCTGTGCATGGTTTAATGTTTAAATGCTCTAACACACCCACTTCACTGTGGACGGGGTTGTTAATTAACTCTTTAGTTGGATCCGTTTTTTGAGGCAGAAAACACTAATATGATAGGGGGATACTCCAGGACTGGTAACCGCTGCTGTAAACCGTCTTTCACCTATGCACTGCCATTTTTAACCAATATGATTCTGATATCACTGTGCATCAGCATTTTTTCTTTTCCACGGAAGTAAATTTTTATTTGTACTGAAGCCCTTGAGATACTACCTATCCCACTGTCCATGCATATGGTGTAGCCTGAAGCAAGATGCAATAGGATTGTCCTGGAGCTAATTATCGATGTGTATCTAAAATATGCATATCTTAAATGATTCCAAATTCTTCAAAATTGAAGTCTAATTAACACTGCTATTGGCTTTTTGACAGCAGAAGGCCTGCTGAGACTTTGCCTTTGTTTGTTTGAGGCCAATTAAGTCTTTGATACCTGCTGTGAGATCAATCCCATCCTTCATCAGACATTTAACATTAACAAGGCCTTATCACTGCACCCCCTCCTCACACCCCGCACACACGCAGTGCTTTGAATCTGAGGCTGTAGTGATTAGCTTCAGTCCCAGGGGAGCACTGTTTAGTGATTTGCAAAAGAGTCTTATTTTGCCTCTGGTCACTTTTGACCACTCTTCCCTTTGCACATCTTTATCATTACTCTGTTTTGCTGTATGCATTTAGAGTTTTTGTGTCCACCTGCTAAAAGCAAGACCCTGCCTGGACTGAAGAGAATTATGCTCATTAGAGGTCATTATGTAGAATAAGGAGAAGCCTCTGAGCATTATTAAAGCTTTGTTGAGGGAAATGATACTGGGTGGCATAAGACTGGTTAATATTGGGGATGTGAAGCCATATGGTCTATTGTCCTACAGGATGCGATGTAAAAGAGCTATGCAGAAAGTCTGTAGCTGGCAAGGCCCTTTTTAAAAAAATATTTATGTAAATTCAGCCCACTCATATGTTATACTTAAATGACCAAAACTCCAAAACTACTAGTATGGCCATAGTGCTTTGACTTTGACATGCTTTGCGAAACTATTAATGAATGTATGCAAAAGTGCATTAGGATGAGTCGTAAGAAATGTCAGGATGATAAATATAATTTCTTTGATCATTCATTAATTAATGTGCAAGTGTGCAGTAATAGTTTGTCAAAAGAAGCTTATTAATATGTTATCAAAATGCTATTACAATTAAATTTTTCTGTAAAGGAAACTTTCATTTTAAATTAATTTCAATGCAAATAACAATGAATCAGGAAAGGTTTTCTTTACATTGTGACAGCTTTTTATGTCTATTTAAAAGACAGATAGCACTTAGCCTAACGCTCAGACGTATGTGAACATGTGTTCAAGCATGACTTACCACACAATTATGCTTGAACGGGAAAGGACCTTCCCCAAACTGTTGCCATGAAAGGGTCCAAGGCCAAACTCTGAAAAACAGCCCTAGACCATTATCCCCTGTCAACCAAACTGGTGGCACTATGCATGCCGATACATAGTGTTCTAGCATCCACCAAACCTAGATTTGTACTGTCAGAGTCCAGTGGCAGCATGCTTTACACCACTCCAGCTGATGCTTGGCATTGGGTATCTTAGGCTTGTGTGCAGCTACCTGGCCATAGAAATCTGTTTCATGAAGCTCCTGATGCACAGTTTTTGGGCTGTTGCCTTGCTTCCAGAGGCAGTTTGGGACTCTGTGGTGAGTAATGCAACAGAGGTTTTTTTACAGGTTATGTGGCCCCAGTCTCTGAGTTTGCTTTGTCTTTCAGGGCACTTTATGGCAGAGCTGTTATGGCTCCAAGATGCTACCATTTACATTTATAGCACTTGTAGCTGACAGGGGCAGATCTATCAGGAATGTATAGTTGTCTATGGAGATTGCAAGGCCATGTGCTTGATTTTATACACCTGTTAGCAATTAGGAGGAGTGTCCACATACCTTTGGCCATATAATGTATCTCTGATGATAGACAGAAGACTGATTTGCAAGACTAGATACCATTAAAAAGCCAAAACAATGAAATTGTCCATGACCAGCACAGGAAATTAGCTACAATTTACATGCACTGCCAGTCAAAGGTTTGAACATAATTGTTCATAGAAGGGTTTTCTAATTTTTACTGTTTTCTATGTTGTATAATTGATAGTTCAGACATCAAAACAGTGTTAAATCTTCTATTTTGGATTCTTTTAGAAATTAGCCTCCTTTGTCTAGATGCAGCTTTGTAGGCTCGTTGTATTCCTTAGAGCAAAATGTCTGTAAGATTATGAACAATGCATATTCAGGTGTTCCCAGACTTTGGACGGATAGTGTGTTAATGACACTAGGTGGCTGATTGATTCCCTTTGTTTTGTTTTGTTTTGAGGTGGGAATCCTTACAGTTTGTTGTCCTATATTGCTTAGAGTGGTTTAAAAGAGCTGTACATGAATGCTGTAGAAGCTCCTTTTAACCTCTTATATAAGTTCATCCCACCTATACATTTCTCGCTCGTCATGCTTTAAAGAGAAAGGAAGTTTTGCTTTCTGTAACACTGCATTTCACCAGTTTGTCCAGCAGATGCTGCTGTTTGTGTTTCATATGCTCTGGCAAACTC